AACTAGAGGGCCACAATGCTTTTTGGGGCCCAATGGAATCAGTGTCAGTTGGTTCCAGAAATAGATCCCATTTTCCTTTCCTCAATATGCAGCTACCTATAAAAAAACAAAAAACAAACAAACAAAAAAAAAAACAAAAAAAAAAAAAAAAAGGAAATCGACACACACACACCCCAGGCCAGCTGTGTGGTGGTCAAACACTTCTGTGATAGGGTGCACCTGACTCACACCCCCCTATCGGGGCTTCTAGGAGTGTACCTGACCGCGGCTGTATCTGAGCACACCTGAGCCTCTGTGGGAGTAGCGGTCTCGCACAAAGGGTCTAACCCGGGGAAGACTCAGCATTCTGGGCCCCTTAACGGAAGCTTTTACGCGCTCCAGCCCAGCAGGCCTTGACAGGGTAACAGGAACTGCCGCCCCCAATACAACATCCCCATCTCCACAGCCACACAGAGTTCGGGACCAGCCCCGCTGACGTCATCGCCCCGCCCCCTCAACTCGCGCCTCCGTTCCCGCCCCGCCCCTTTCCCAGCGTCCTCCGCGGCCAGGCTCCTCGCCCTCCACTTTTGCTAGTCGCCTCAAGATGGCGGACACAATGAGCCGGCGCTACGCCGGTCGGTACTAAGCTGACGGTGAGGAGAACAGTCCGCTAGGCCCCACCATCAGGACGGGAGAGCGCTGCCCACTGAGGAAGAGGCGGCGGACCGACTGCAGAGCCTTCTTCCCGCTCGCCGCTAGCGCGGCGCACGCACCACCTGGGTTGGCCCTGAGCCGCCAGCCCGCTCGCCGCCCGACCCCGCCCCGGCCCCGCGCCGCTGCCGCCTCCTGCCGCCGCCATGAAGCTGACCGACAGCGTGCTGCGGAGCTTCCGCGTCGCCAAGGTGTTCCGCGAGAACTCGGACAAGATCAACTGCTTTGACTTCAGCCCCAATGGCGAGACGGTCATCTCGAGCAGCGACGACGACTCCATCGTGCTCTACGACTGCCAGGAGGGCAAGTGAGTGCGGTGGGGGCCGCGGGCCGGGCGCCGAGTCCCTCCCTCCTTTCCTCCCGCGGCCGCCCTGGTCCCCACCGCGGTCCCTGGCCTGCTCTGCACCCGTTCGGGCCAGGGCCGCCTCCACCCCGCTGGCGATCGTAAATAGTACTAATAACAGCATTGTTTCGGGTTTCTGGATCTCCTGCGAAACCCCACCTTGACCTTGACCTTTAAGCGCCCTGTCGGTGCGCCCCGGGCCCTCCGGAGAGCCCTTTTCAGATGTAAGTCAGCTCGGTGCCGAACTGGCGGAGCTGCTCTGCTGTCTGAGGCAGCACCAGCCCTCTGCCCTGTCCGCGGTGACCTCGATTCAGCTCTGGCACCGCACCGGTCCCCTGCCTGACCCTCACTTCCCGCGCGGCCTTTCTGCCTTCTCGCGGCACGAGGTGCAGTTTTTAGCTGTCAGGGTGTAATCTGTTGTGCCTGTCTTGGAGCTTTCTGCCCTTTTCCTGTTCCATTTCTTTTAATTCTGTCAGACTCTATGCTCATGTTTATGGTTAACTTAAGCAGCGTCCCCGAAACTTTTCTTTCCTAGACACAAGCGAACTTGCCCGCCCCATCCCTACCAGAATGCAAACTCTGTTTCTTCATCTATTTAGAGACAGGGGCTCCGTGTATCCCCAGCTAGCTGGCCTGAAATGTAGACCAGGCTGGCCTCGATCTCACAGAGATCCGCCTACTTCTGCTCCTGAGTGCTGGGTGAGGGCCTCTTAAAACAAAGAAAGCATCCTGGAACAATTTTAGTGTTTCCTTTTGCACTCGTAAAAAAAAGTTTGCAGCCCAGGCCTGGAGTCTCAGCATTCGAGTGGCAGAGAGAGGCAGGTGAGGTCCAGAACCGCCGGGGATACGTAGATACCCGTCTCAAAACAGTCTGTCAAAACCACAGCATTTTATGGTTCATTTTGAATTCTTAAAATTCTGGATTTGGTTATGAAAGTTTTTTGTTAGTTGGAGAATCAGTACGACTGTGTACCTGTAGTATTAGCAAACGATTTGCTTTTTTCAGAGCCTGGAAGCAGGCATTGTCCACCTGACCTTATCCTTGCTCCAAGTCCTTAGTAATCAGTGACCTCTTTAAAATTGATTTCCCATGACAAGCTTGACTTCAGCCACCTTTCCTAAGTAGGGAAGGTTTGGTTTAATTTGGTGGCTACTGTTTTTGTCCTACATTATTTTGTTACCTAGTCCTAGGTCCTATGTTTTCTTAATACTTAGGTCTTTCTCTACTTTGTTTAGTTCCTTTTGTTTTTGTTTGTTTGTTTGTTTTCAAACAACTGATGGTTTTCTTTGGAACTTGTGTCTGAATTTGATTAAAGTAAAGCTGTTTGTAGACTGAGCTATATACAAGGTGCTTTATGATTATCACCCACTGGAGCGGTAAGAAAATATTATGTACCTATCTCTGGGTCTGCCTACAGTGGTGGTCCTAGGGGAGAGAGGATGATTAGCCCGACAGGTAGTTGTTCATTTAGGGGATGGGGATTTTATCCAGGTCTAACCATTTGAATCTGTTTGGAAGAGATTTAAAGTTGGGGTAAGGGGTTATGACTGTGGAATGAATCCTGGAACTAGAAGGAATTTGGAGCTGGTTCCCTGGAAATGTTAAGTGCTTCTACACAGATCAGAACCTCCCCTCAAAACATGTAGAAATGCATATCCTTATTCAAAGGCATAGAATGCCAAGGTTACAAAATAATACTGTTTATTTGTGCATGCAACATTTTTATATAACTACAGGCTTACAGAAAGTACAGTGTTTCAAAGGACTCTCTTGAAAAAAATATTTACTAGGCCAAGTAGCGCATACCTTTAGTTCCAGCACTGGGGAGACAAGAGACAGGCAGCTCTCTGTGAGTTCAAGCCAGTCTGGTCTACATAGTGAGTTCCAGTCTAGGCCAGCTAGGGGTGTAGGAAAACGCTATCTCAGAAAGACTGAGAAAAAAAAAAAAAAGAAAGAAAGAAAACTACTTCACCAGCAGTGCCTGTAAATCCCAGCACCGCTCTCCTTGTAACCCCAGCTGTCCTGGAACTCGCTGTGTAGACCAGGCTGGCCTGGAACTCACAGAGATCCACCTGCCTCTGCCTCCCGAGTGCTGGGACTAAAGGCATGGGCCACCACGCCTGGCACAAGTAATATTTTTATTTGATAATTATCAGTGTTAGAATTTGGGTGCTTGAAAATAGCTAAAACAAGGTTGTTTGAGAGAGTCTTACTGTAGTCCCAGCTGGCTGGAACTCAGTATGTATTTCTGGCTAACAATCCTCCTGCCTCAGCCTCTCAAGTCCTGGATGTGAATCACCAATACTTGGCTTAAAACAAGATTTTTTTTCTTTTATGATTTTATTATTTATTAATGTGTGTACATGCATGTGGAGATCAGAGGACAACTTGCAGGAATTGATTCTCTCCATGTGGATCCTGGGGATTGAACTCAGATCATCCATCAGGCTTGGTGGCAGGCACCTTTACCCACTGAACCATCTCATAGGCCCAAAACAAGTTAAATTTGTTTTATTGCATGGTATGTTTGGTTTACTGCCCCTTTGAACTTTATAATGGAGTTAATCCCTTGAATTATATTTTAACTGGGAAGAATGTAAGGGATACTCTTGTTGTAGTAATGCAAATTACTCAAAATGAAGGTTTTACTTTTTTCTATTTATGGGTGCAAGAGACACACACACACACAGCTTTTGTTTGCCTTCTTGAGGCAGGGTTTCTTTTAGCCCAGATTACCTTACAAATCTATGTAGCCAAGGCTGGCCATGAGCTCCTGATTTCTCCTGCCTCTGCCTTCCAAGTGCAGGGATTATAGATATGCTTCACCGTGATCAGCTAGCTTTACTGTCACTTTCTTTGTTCATACCTAATTTCCAAAATCATAGTTTTAAGGAGGAAGCTTGCCAAAATGCTTGGAAATGTGCACAGACTTTGTTAAGACCCTTGCAATAGATATAGTACATTAAGATCTTGCTTTCAAAGTAGAAATTGAAATGCAGAAATCAATTTCTTTCATTAGAGACAATTCTCAGGTTGCTGCTTTTTTTTATATATTTAAGACATAAAGGCCATCTCTCAATGGATCCCAGTTTTTTTTACACCACACACTTTAAAACTCTTAGGGGTTGGTCTTTTTGTTTACTTGTAATTTTGGAGATAGAATCCATGGCCTTGTGTGTACTAGCAAGCCCTCTGTAACTGAGCCATATCCCTAACTCTGTTTTCTGTCCTTGATGGGCTGAAATAACTAGGATTCACTTCTGCCACTGATGGATGCAAAGCCAACTTGTCTTTAGTGTAAGCACACGCTCGATCTCACTCTTTGGTTATCCAGAAAATGGACTGGACCTGGTAGCATTTTATTTTAGTGAAGGTAGCCAAGTGGAAAATAAGTAGAATTGTGAGAACTCTTTTAAAAATAGGTTTCATGAGCCAGGCGTGGTGGCGCACGCCTTTAATCCCAGCACTCGGAAGGCAGAGGCAGGCGGATCTCTGTGAGTCAAGGCCAGCCTGGTCTACATAGTGGTTCCAGGACAGCTGGGGCTACAGGGAGACCCTGTCTCAAAAAGGCCCAAAAAAAAAAAAAAAAAAAAAAAAAGGTTTTGGGAAGAGGAAGCCCTCACTGCTGGTAATTGAAAGTGCAAATGATTGACTTCTCTTAAGCTTCCTGGGTCATTTGATTGTTTAGCCCAAGGTTCCAAAAGAATGTTATATTGAGAAGATAAACTTTTTGCATAGATTGGAGTTCTTGGTAAATGTTGGTACTGGAGTTTGAAATTCTGTTTTTCTTTTTCTTTTTGAGTCAGAGTTTCATTTTGAAGCCTAGACTGACTAAACTTACTGTGTAGCCTTTTAAGTTCCTGCCTTAGCCTTTTAAGTTCTGGCTGGGATTACAAATACAAGCCTTCACACCTGACTTTAGTATTCTTCTGAGACCTAAATGTGAAACATTATGTTAAAAGTGTTCTTGTTTTCTGGCTTTGTGCACACAGAGAGTTGTTTTGGCATTCAGTTTTAGTTTCCCAGAGATATTTTGATTTTTAAAAACATTTTGTCTAATTTAAGCAGCATGTGACAATTTTTCTTTGCTATAGATTTTATTTTTCCAAGATCCTTTTACCTTGATCTTCAAGGGTCTGGAGAGGAAGATATTTAAGGAGCTTCAACAAGTAGTTTGGAACTGCTAGGTTGGAAATAACGTAATTTTCCAGTAAAGTAAAAAGAAAGAACCATTGACTATAGTTTTGCCAGGGAGAGTTAGGCTTGTTTTCTAAAAGGCACATCCAGTGCTTTGTACCTCTAGACAGGAAGGTCAAACATCTTCAAAAGTAAGTGACATTCAGAAAGTAAGCAAATTTTGCATCTGGTTTCAGTTTTGATAAATCATTGCCTTTAAGAAAACTTTCTGAAGTTGGGCGTGGTGGCACATGCCTTCGATCCCAGCACTTGGGAGGCAGAGGCAGGTAGATCTCTGTGAGTTCCAGGTCGGCTGGGGCTACAGGGAGACTGTCTCGAAAAAAAGGGGGAGGGGGAGAGAAAGAGGGAGGAAGAGGAAGAGAGAAGGAAAAAGAAAAGAAAAAACTTTCTGGGGCCCACATCAGCCCACCTATAACTCCAGCTCCAGGGAATCTAACACCCTCTTCTGACCTCCTCAGGCATCTACCCACACATGGCATACATACACAGAGATGCATACGCATACACATAAATAAAATAAAATCCATAACCAAAAAGGAAGAAAGCTTTTTTAGGAAAAGTTCTTGGGCTTGCGGTATTCTCATATTCCTTTGTTGTAAGTTACGACTTTGTTTTGTGCTCCTTCTCAAATAAATATGCTTCTCCAAGTTTTACATTTGAAGCCAGGCATGCTGGTACACGCTTATAATCCTAATTCTACCACTTGAGAAATGGAGGCAGAGGGATTCAAAGCAATCCTCAATTACAGTGAGTTGGAGGCCAGCTCTACGTTTCCTTCTACTTGGCGTTTGATGTTCAAAGTGAAGATCTTTTCTTTAGATGGCCATGATGCTTGATTTTTGTTTTGGGGTTTTTTTTCTTATTTTTATTTTTATGTGTATGAGTGTTATGCTTGCAGGTACCTAAGAGCAGCCAGTGTTCTTAACTGCTAAACCATCTCTCCAGCCCCTGGTTTTTGTTTTTAAGGGGGGGTCTTGGTGCTGGAAAGATGACTCTGTAGTGTACTGGACTTGCTCTGTTTTGGCTCATTATTGCCTGTAACTGCAGCTCCAAGAGAGATCCAGGTCCATCTTCTGGTCTCCATAGGCACTGCACTCACAAGTACAAACCTGCACACAGACACATACATAAGCATATTTCTTAAATTTTAGCTGAGTGTGGTGGCATGTGCCTTTAATCTCAGCACTCTAAAGGCAGAGGCAGTAGGTCTCAGTGGGTTTGAGGCCAGCTTGGTCTACATAGTGAGTTTCAGGCCAGGGGCTACAGGGAGATCTTGTCTCAACAGAACAAAACAATTTAAATTTCAGCAAGGCATGGTGGTTTATGCTTTTTTAAAATATTTTATTTATTATTTTTATTTTATGTGTGTGTATATTGCCTGCGTGTAGGTTAAGTGCACCCATGTCGTGCAGTGCCCGTGGAGGATAGAAGAGGCCATCGGATCCCCTGGAACTGGAGTTAATGGACAGTTGTTAGCTGCCATGTGGGTGCTGGGATTCAAACCCAGGTCTTCTGCAGGAACAACCAGTGTTCTTAACCGCTGAGCCATCTCTCCAGTCCAGTGGTTTATGCCTTTAATCCCAACACTTGGGAGGCAAAAGCAGGCAGATATCTGAGTTTGAAGCCAGATGGAGATTTCCCTGTTATCCAGTGAACTAAGCATCCTCCTGCCTCAACCTCTTCTGTAGATGGGACTTGCAGTTACTCCACTTGTGCCCTTGATTGTTGATTTCAAGTTTTTGCGATAGAGTTTTCTGATTTTTTTTTTCCTTCCTCTGTTTGCTCCTCAGACCAAAGAGAACCCTGTACAGTAAGAAATATGGTGTGGACCTCATCAGATACACTCACGCGGCAAACACAGTCGTTTACAGCTCTAACAAAATAGATGGTAAGCAAACCATTTTGGGAGGTCTGTCGTGCTCATGATTTCCTTTGTTTAATTCTTCACAGAATCACTGTGACAGCTTTTGCTTTGGTTAATAGTACATTGGTTTAAATATTTTCCTATGACATAGCTATGCTAATTACATTGTTATAACTGAAAGAATGCTGGGAAGCAAGCTACTAGCACTTTTGAAGAACTGGAACAGAATATGAAAAATGTCCAGTTCATAATGGGGAGTCCAAAAAGAAGCCACTAATTATATTTATGATTTATATTCCTTGAAACTTGAAAGAATAAAGAAAAAAAAATCAAAAGAATACTTCACCCACAGCAATTAGGAAACTAATAGGCCTTTCCATTCAGAATATGTAGGTTGAGCCAGGTGTGGTATCTCACCTCCAATTCCCTTATCTGGGGCTTCTGAGGCTGGAGGAATAGAGTTCAGGCCAGCCTGAGCTACATGGTGAGACCTCATCTTCAAAAACTAAGAGTGCGGGGGAGAAATAAAGGCAAACCTTTAGCATTTCTGACTGAGGGAGATTAAAACAGAGAATGTGTAAATAGACTAAATGCTGAATGGAAAGGAGACCAGAAAAATAAAAACAAGAATAGCTTAAGCATCCCAGCACTCAGGGAGGCTACGACCAGAGCTGCCCACTTGACAACTTAGCAGAGTTGTTGCCAAAAAAAAGAAGGCAGGCATGGTGGTCTGGTCAGGCCTTTAATCTCAGTACTCTGGAGACAGAGACAGGCAGATATCTGCATTCAAGCCTAACTTGGTCTACATAGCAACTTTCAGGCCAGCTGGAGCTACAGCAAAACACTGTCTCATTTAAAAAAAAAAACATGATAAATAAATAAAGGCTTGAGAAATGGTTTTATTTTGTTTTCTAAATGGTTGAGCTATGATAGTTTAAGGAAAATTAGAAGATTGTAGATCTCTTCTAGTCTGTGTCATTGAAGAACTGTGCACTGACCTCAGTGGTCTTTGATTCCAGGGACATGTTTTGTTTGTTCGTTGGTTTTGTTTGTTTCATCATTCTGTAACAGTGTCTCACTGTGTAGCCCAGGGCTAGACTGCCAAGTGCTAGCGTCACAGGTGTGCAAGCTGTGTGTCTGTCCAGTGGTATATATTTTTATCTCTGGAAAGCATTGCTGGGATTGAGGATGTTAGGCAAGTGTTCTACCACGGAGCCACATCTCTGGCCTCTCTCTTTTTACTTTGAAGAATGAAGAGATATTTTAGGAATTCGAACTTTGTTTTTAATAAATGGTTTCTGTTTTTGCCTGATTTTTCCCTGGGATAAGTCTCCTAGGTTGGCAAATTGTCTTGATAATTGAACTGTTGCACTTACTTTTTTTTTTTTTTTTTTTAAACCTTACTAGTTTACTGCTTCACTTTTTGTACTAAAATATCTCATGGTTTTTTTTTTTTTTCGGATAGTATCACTATAACCAGGTAGCCCTTGAATTTGTGATATTACTGCTTCATCCTCCTGAATGCCGGGAATATAGGCTGTGGCAGGCACAGTTAGATTCTTTTTAAAGATTTGTTTTTTAATTATATGTCTCTGTGGGCATGTGCATGTGTTGAGTGCAATCGTACACAGAGTCCAGAAGAAGGTGTCACATCCCCTTGAGGTGGTTGTGAGCCTCCAACATGGGTGGGTAGGAAACGAAGTTGGGTCCTCTGCAAGAGCAGTACATGCTCTTAACCTAACCAAACCATACGCCCCTACTTCCACCCCCTTTTTTTTGAGACATGGTCTCACTAAGCAGGGCTGGCTGACCTGGAACTCAGTTGTGTAGACCAGGCTGGCCTCCAACTCATAGAGGTACACCTGCCTCCCAGTGCTGGAACTAAAGGTATGTGCCACCATGCTCAGGCCCATTAGATTTTTCTAATATCATTCAGCAAGGGTTATTTAGGCTCCTATTTTAATCTATCTCAGAGCAGATGGGCAGAAATCTTCCTTGAATGAGACTTTTCTACCTAAACTTAATTTTTAGTAAGTATATCATTTGTATTTTTTTATGCTTCTGTATCAGTAGTTTTCTAAGTAGGCAATGCAGTTAATGCTTTTACATAGGAAAATAAAATATTGGAATCCTGAGGAAATATGTATATAACATCTAAATACTGGTATATTTCTTTTGTTGGGCCACTTTTCTGAGTGATTAAATGAGGATTCTCCAAATTTGGTACAAGATGAGGCAAATGTGTGGCACTTGCAGCTTTGCTGCCAGGCCTCTGCAGTGGGAATGTTGCCTTTCCTGTCTCGAGTGCATCCTGAAGAGTTCCTCCAGTGCTCCGTTTCCTTTTGCCTGATTCCAGGCTGAGGTAGTAGTTTGTACAGTTTGAGGGTCTATGATACCACCCGGTACAGGAGATAACTGTACAGGCCACTGCCTTGCCAGGAACAGCGCACCAGCTACCAAGTGGGGTGGAGAGGATGGCGAAGCTCTGCTCATCTCTGGGAATCCAGGTAATGGGGAGGAAATCTTGACTTCTTAGGGCAGGTGAGTAGTTCTTAGCACTAGAGCAACTAGAAATGCTTTGTAGCTGTTATTTCACAGGTTTGGAGATGTTTTCAAATAAACCATGTGGAGTCCATTACAGACTATTAAGGCTTCCTTCGGGCTTGGTGGCGCATGCCTTCAATCCCAGCAGAGGCAGATGGATCTCTGAGAGATCAAGGCCAGCCTGGTCTATGTAGTGAGTTCCAGGCCAGCTGAGGCTACAGGGAGACCCTGTCTCTAAAAGACAAAAGAAAAAAAAAAAAAAACAGACTGTTAAGGCTTTTCTTTTCTCCCTCTTAGGTTAAATGCCCTCATTAGAGAGCACCCTTGCAAGCCAAGTGTGTTGCTCTTGTTTATGATCCTAGCATTCAGGAGGCTGAGGCTGGAGGATTGCTACTAGTTTGAAGTCAGCCTTTGCTATATACTGAGTTCCAGCCTAGTGTGAACTGCAGAATGGGACTCTTTCAAGAAAGGGAAAGGAAGGAGACGGACAAAACCAGAGTACACCCTTACGAGCCACTTGATATGTTCAACCTCTTCAGGCTCTTTTCTGATTGTCTTTATAGTGCCCTTTTTGTGCTTCTTCCTTCCTTTTGGTACCATATTTCCCATTACTTGTTCCTTAGCAACTGTGTGTGTGTGTGTGTGTGTGTGTGTGTGTGTGTGTGTGTGTGTGTGTGTGGTGCTTTGTTTGGCTCTTTCGGTTTTTGAGACAGGGTCTTTATATATAACCTATGCTGGCCTTGAACTGGCAATCCTCCTCCCTAGGCCTCCAGTGTGCTGGGATTACAGGCCAAAGTCATCGTGACCAGCTTTTCACTTTTAAGAAACATAGTACTTCCTATTTTTCTAGTTCTTTTGTGTTGCCAAGGCCTCATCTATGCTAGACATGCACACTGAGCTGCAGCCCCAGCCTTCTAGTTTATTCTCTATGGCACTTCATTCCCTGCTAAACCCATCCTTTTGTGTGTCGGGGGGTGGGGGGTGGGGGTGTGTGTGTGTGTGTGTGTGTTTGAGATAAGGTCTCCCTGTAGCCCCAGCTGGCCTGGAACTCACTATGTAGATCAGACTGGCCTTGAATTCACAGAGATCCACCTGCCTCTGCCTCCCAGCTGCTGGGATTAAAGGTGTATGCCACCACGCCTGACTTCAAGCCAATCTTTCTGCTGTATATTTTCCTAGATAGACTCTTTTGGAGATTTGTTTGTTTTGGAGACAGGGTCTTCCTATGTTTAGCCCATACTATCCTCAAACTCACTATAGCCCAGTCTCTAATTTTTCAATCATTTTGCCTCAGCCTCCAGAGGCCTAAGATTATAGGCTTATTATGCCTGACTCATTAAGATAGGGTCTCCCTGTAGTTTCAGCTGTCCTGGAACTCACCATGTAGACCAGGCTGGCCTTTAACTCACAGAGATCTGCCTGCCTCTGCCTCCCAAGTGCTGGGATTAAAGGCATGCGCCACCACGCCCGGCCAAATAATTTATTTTTAAGAGTGTATGTCTACATTCCCTAAGTACAGATCTTTATGATGATTCTTTTCCATTTTGTTTAGTTTCCACATAAGTTGTAGGTCAACACTTCTGGAGAACTAGAAGCAAAAATTTTCTATCGATGTCCAGCCTTAAGTTTTTGCGCACTTCTTTAAGTGTTTCCTTAGCAGCAAGATGTTTTTCTTTTAAGGTTTGTTGCTCTGTAGGCACTAAAATCAATGTCTAAAACCATTGATTTTTTTAAGTCCTTGCTAGGGTACAAGGCAAGATGAATTATAAATTATGAAGAAGCCAGTGGCCAGTAGGGATTTTTTTTTTCTAAATGTAGTTTTTACTTTTTCTCTCTCTCAGCACTAGACATTGAACCTTGGGCTTCACACATGCTTGGCAAGCACTCTACCACTGAATTTTACTCCTAGTCCCAAAACAGTGGTTTTGAATGTTGCTATGAATGTCGTCATCTTAGAACTTGGCTTTTGAGTTATATGAATCTATTTACCATTGTTTATCCATGATTTGCTTGGCAATGTAATACATAGGGCTCTTTAGCCTTGTCTTTTCAAAATGAAAAGTAAATTTTAAATAGTCCAATATCATGCCTATTTGTCTCCTTACAGACACAATTCGTTATTTGTCCTTGCATGACAACAAATACATCAGATACTTCCCTGGACATAGCAAAAGGTAAGACCCAAGTACTGTAGAATTACTTGTTTTATCCCTGGGGTAACCCAGAGACCAGAAGAGTGAGGGGAGAGGTTTTGTTTGTAAATTCAGCCTACTTGCTTTTTGCCATTCCTCTTCATCTTGTTAACTCTTCAGTAGCCCCTTCTTGGTTTACTGAGGTTGTGGAAGCAGGAGATAGTTTCAGAGATAACTAAAATCTCTGTTAAAATATAAGGGGCGGGAGTATAGCTCAGTGGCAGACTACATGCATAGCCTGTAAGCACCAAAAATAAAATAAGGCGGGAAGAGGGGTTGGGTGTATCTCAGTGTTTGGTGTGTAGTAAAGCTATTAGGGAACAACCTATGCTGTAAAAATTTGGTATTTAGGAATGCCAGATCTCAGATCTCTCTCTTTTTTTCAAATGTGCATAATCTTTTGCTTGCGTGTACATACGCAACATATGTGTGCCTGGTGCCCACAGAGGCCAAAAGAGGGTGTTAGATCCCTGAAAATTTGAGTTACAGGTGGTTGTTAGCCATCATATGGGTGTTGGGCACCAAATCTCTGTCCTCTCTAAGAGCAGCCAGTGCTCTTACAACTAATCTGTCCCTGGATTTGCCTATATAAATGGAATCAGATGTTATATGGCCTTTTGTGCCTGGTTTCTTTGATGTAGCATGCTTTCAAAGTTCATCCCTGTTGTCATATGAATCAGTACTTGGTTTCTTTTAGTGTCAAATAATAATTGTGTCATATCATGTGACTATTCCCCATTTTGTTGATCCATTAGTGAATGGCCACTGGGTTTTTCCATTCTTTAATATGAATAATGATATAAAAGCATCTGGACATTTATGTGTGAACATTTTAATTCTCTAGGGTATATACTAGGAATGGAATTTCTGAGTTGTATAATAACTATCTTTTCAGAAAATGATTTCTAAAGCATCTATACCACTTTACAGTTCCATATCCTCTTACCAATATTTGTTGTCATTCCTCTTTTATTACAGCTTTTTGTGAGTGTGGGTTAGTATTTTGTTGTCTTAATTGCAGTAAAATCACATATTTTGTTTTGTTTGAGGCAAGGTCTCACTATATAGCCCTGGCTGACCTGGAACTCACTATGTAGATTTAGGCTGGCCCCAAATTCATAGAGATACCCGCTTACTCTGCCTCCTGAGTGCTAGGATTAAAGGCATGCCCCACCACACCTGGCCCCTTCAAGTTTTTTTTATACTGAGGCTTTAAGTTGCTTTTTTTTTCTCATATTCACTGCTTTTGATTGTTCCAAATAAGTTTGTATGCTTCCTAGGGTGGTAATTTGGGGAAAATTGGTATATATACAGGTAGACAGAGTGGCTTAGAATTCATATCCAATTTTTGCTCATATTTTGCTTCAACTCCTATTTATCTTGATACATTGCAGGGTGGTGGCCTTGTCCATGTCACCTGTGGATGACACTTTCATTTCTGGGTCTCTTGATAAGACCATTCGACTCTGGGATCTCCGGTCTCCTAACTGCCAGGTAATGGTACCTCACAGTTACATTTTTGAGCATTTTCTGTGAAAGACATTATCATAGCTTTCCTCCCCAAGCAAGGGAGAAAGCAGTGGTTCCATTTGGGGATCCCAGAGTCTTCTTAAATGGCAGAGAAAACCTAGTTGGCTTCTGCTTGGTAAGCAGATATCCTAAGCTAGTAGGTTGCATTATACTCTGTGGCTTAGTGCTTTAAAAAGTTTTCCTAAAGCCTTTGAGCTACAGCTTTTAGCTTCAAGGAATTTGTTTTCATTGGAACTTCATAATATTGTACAGTTAGGGTTGATTGGAAATCCATTGTATGATGACTTCTTTTTTTTTAGAAGCTTCAATTTAGTCAGATTTTTGTTTGCTTTTACTGTTTTGTAGGTAGGCAACTGGGTATCTGTTCATATCCCTTTCTTAGTTTTCATTGGGAAAAGTAAATGATACAGTGGCAAGATGCATCATTATTAACTGTTTGTCTTTTCTCTTAGGGCCTCATGCATCTACAGGGCAAGCCAGTTTGTTCTTTTGATCCAGAAGGGTTAATTTTTGCTGCAGGTGTCAACTCGGAAATGGTTAAACTTTACGACCTTCGATCTTTTGATAAGGTAAATCTTTGAATCTTTGAGCTGTCTTGATGTTATGGAAGTTTTAAGGGCAAGTTGGACATTTAAGATCCCTGTCTGTGATAGACAGTAGAGAGTGCTAAAATAGTACTTCATCCACATTCTGCTTTCCCAAATGAAGAATCTGAAGGATGGCATGGAAGATGATGAACTTTTTTTTTTTGTTTTTAAGATAGAGTTGGCTTTGACCAGAGGAATTATTTGTGGACCTGGGTCTGCTTTTTTTGTGTTTTTCAGGGACCATTTGCAACCTTTAAGATGCAATATGATCGAACTTGTGAGTGGACAGGACTTAAGTTCAGCAACGATGGCAAACTCATTCTCATCTCCACCAACGGCAGCTTCATCCGTCTCATTGATGCATTCAAGGGAGTAGTGATGCACACATTTGGGGTAAGCTGACAGCTTTTGAGCATGACAATTTCCATTCATACCTCCTGGGCTGGGAATTGTGTTAGCTGGATGCTGGAGATCAGCAGTTAGCCTGGAATCAGAGATTAAGACATGGGTTGATGGTTTTTCTCTGCTCATGAACTTTATTTCCTTTGGATTCTGATCATTTGCTTCTAGCAAAGTGACACAAATTGGCATTTAAAAATGATTATTCCTAACAACAAAGTTTTTTGCCCTCCTTCATAGGGAGTTGGGGTTTGGGAGTGTTAAGTAGCCACATCTGGACCTTTTGGTGGCATTGCACATGGAAAGTCTTCTGTAGAAAGGAAGGGTTTGTGTACTGGCTTGGTATTTCTAGGCAGTTGTTTTTATTAATGGCCGTATGATGAGAACTGCTATTTTTTTTTAGGGTTATGCTAACAGCAAAGCTGTCACACTGGAGGCTTCATTTACTCCAGATTCTCAATTTATTATGATTGGTAAGCTGCTTTGATTTTTTTTTTTCCCTTGTGCTCTAGTATTATGCGTTTAAGTTATTATGCAAAGTAATTAAAATATCTAATATGTTTTCAGATTTCCATATAGCACTTTGTGACTCTGGAGTTTCCTTTATTGGTTTGGGTTTTATTGTTATTTATTGTGTTTGTACATGTGTGTATACACATGCTTTTGTAGAGGCTTGTGGGGGTGGTGGGAGGTCAACTTGCAGAAGTCCATTGTCTGCTTCTACCAAGTAGGACTCAGGGATCAAACTCAGGTCATCAGTCTTGGTGGCAGACACTTTGATCCCCTGAGCCATCTTGCCAGCCTGATTTTATATTATATAGCTCTGGCTGGCCTTGAACTTGCTGTGTAATCAAGGATGACCTCAAGCTTCTGATACTCCTACCTTCACCTCCCAAGTGCTGGGATTGTAGGCATATGCCATCATAACCCAGTTCTTTGTTGGAACTGGCAATGTGTTGGTCTTCCCTTTGTGGGCTTTAGAGTTAAGCTCTAAAGCATCACTGTATTATTACTAACTTGGCATAACCTTGCATTCAGTTGTCTCGTACTACATCTTGATAAGCCAATGGTATTCAACTTTTCTGAATGAGAAATGTAAAGGTAGAAGGGGAAATGACTTAGCCAGGCATGGTGAAACACTCCTGTACATTCACTCCAATCTGAACACATGGGAGACAAAGAGGAAGGTTTGGAGTTTGAAGTCAATTTGAGTTTTGTTTTTGTTTTTGTTTTTTTTTGGTCTTTTTGAGACCTGTAGCCCCAGCTGGCCTGGAATTCACTATATAGACCAGACTGGCCTCGAACTCACAGAGATCTGCCTGCCTCTGCCTCCTGAATGCTGGGACTAAAGGTATATGCCACCACACTCAGCCTAATACATTAATTTTTAAGATGCTTTTCTTTTTTGCTTTTTTTGTCTTTCTGAGACAGGGTCTACTTGTAGCCCCAGCTGTCCTAGAACTCACTATGTATACCAGTCTGGCCTCAAACTCAAAGATCAAAAGAACCAAATGGAAGTTTTCAAGCTGAAAAACACACTGGATTGGCTCCAAGCTGAAGGGAACAAGGGGGCGCAGTGTGGGCCTAGGACAGAGGGCAGAGCACACCTGGAAGACAGGACTAAGGAAGTGGAGTCTCGGGAACACACTTCAAGCTCTGTGATTTGTCGCTGAGTCCCAGGAGGAGATAAAGATTGGTGCAAAAAAATGTATCTGAAGAATGAATACCCAAAAACATTCCATGTTTAGTAAGACTAAACTACATAGATAAGAGAAATCAGTCCTTCCCCCTCATGTGTGCACACACCTGTTTCATGCTAAGCTCATACTCCACCACTGAACACTAGCCCAGCCTCATTTGAAAGCTTTTAAAAGGCATTTAAAACTGCACATAGAGGGGTTGGAGAGACGGCTCAGTAGTTAAGAGCCCTTGTTGGTTTTGCAAAGATCCCAAGTCCTGTTCCTAGTACCCAGGACACAACTACCTATAATTCCAGTTCCAGAGGGATCCAACACCTCTGGCCTCTGAGGGCACCTGCACACATGTGCACATACCCACACACATATATACAAATAAGAACACTGAGGAAGACCCGGGTTGAAATCCCAGCACCCACATGGCAGATAACTACTGTCCGTAACTCCAGTTCCAGGGGATCCAACAGCTTCTTCTGTCCTCCGCGGGCATTACACAACATGGGTATACTTAACCTACATGCAGGCATAACACTCATATACATAAAATAAAAATAATAAATATTTTTAAAAAAACAAAAAAACCAGTCTCAAAAAGGGGGTGAGGGGTCGAATACTTAGATCAAGATGAATCCCAGTATCCTTCCTCTATCAACCTCTCAATTTCTGTTGAAGGCTGGGTTCTGAAGCTTAAATTCTCCAGACCTCAGTTCATCTTTTCCTCACTTTTCTTTGTATTATCTCTTGAAATACTACATTTCTTAATCATTCTCTTTAGGTTCAGAAGATGGCAAGATCCATGTCTGGAATGGAGAGAGTGGTATAAAAGTAGCTGTGCTGGATGGTAAACACACGGGTCCCATTACCTGTCTGCAATTCAACCCCAAGTTCATGACCTTTGCCAGTGCATGTTCCAATATGGTATGTGAACAGTGAGAGGTGTTTCTTATATAGGACCCTCTTTATTTGGGGTGGTGGATGCCATAATGAGACAGCAAGCTGTGTTCCACAGAGTTTCAAGTACTCAAGTTCATGTTTGAATTGGTGGCTTCTCTGTTATACCTCCACATCATGTGATCTTTGGCTGGGCTGGTCTTTTCATTTTTATTCCTCTTCCCATAAAGTGGGATCATCTCTGAACTCCTAAGCGATTACAGGGCTGTTTTTGGTATAGTCCTAGGTTTTAGGTCCAAACTATTTAAAATAGGTTATGCCTGACATTTTTCTTGTACTCACATTAGTCCACCTGCCTTGGCCTGAGTGTTGGAAGTATAGGTGTGAGCCACCACACCTGGTGACTTTTCCATTTCCCAACTTTCTTATACTGAATTCCTCAAATTCTTTTCATTTTTTCCATTTATTTTTATTTTCTGTATATGAGTGTATTGCTATGCAGTGCCTGTGGGGGACAGAAGAGGGCATTGGATCCTCTGGAACTGGAGTTAAGGACAGTTGTTAGCCTCAGTGTGGGTGCTGGGAATCAAATCCAGGTATTCTTCAAAAGCAGTCAGTGCTCTTAACTGCTGAGCCATCTCTCTCTAGCCCCAAATTCCTCAAATTCTTATCATAGGCCATTTAAGGGTTTGTTTTTTTTTCCCCCCCACATTTTTTAGTTTGTGTGTACACGTGGCACACATGGAGATCAGGGGATGACTTCTCAGTTCTCTCCTTTCACTGTGTTGGCTCTAGGGATTGGACTCAGTTAGCCTTGGTGGCAAGCATACTTTATTTGCTAAGCCATCTCACCAACCATTTTCTATAACTAGAAAACAAGACAGGCATGCTAGCATACACTTTACTCTTAGCATTTGCGGGGTAGAAGCAGGAGGATCAGGAATTGCAGTCCAACCTGGATTACGAGACCTTATCTCAAAAATACAAGGGGCTGGCTCAGCGGTTAAGAGCGGTGGCTACTCTTGCAGAGGACCCAGGTTTGATTCCTAGCACCCACATGGCAGCTAACAACCATAACTCCAGTTGGAGGGGATCTGACATCCTCTTCTGGCCTCCGTGGGCATTGCATACATGGGTGCATTTATATACATGCAGACAAAACATTCATACACATAGAATATAAATATATAAAAACAAACACAATAGGGCCAGGGAGATGGCTCAGAGGGTAAAGGTGCTTGCCCCCAAGCCTGACATGAGTTCAATCCCCAGAACCCAAATGGTGGAAGGAGGGAACTGACTCCCACAGGCCATCCTCTGACCTCCACATGTGTACCATGGCATGCACATATATACACACAAATGTAATTTTATTTTATGTGTATGAGTGTATTGCATGAATGTATGTGAGTATACCCACGTTTTAAAAGTTAAAAAGAATTAACTGGAAGTCAGAATTGCTGAGTCTCAGGCTCTAGTTTTTCTCTTGGAATATCTTTACCCAGAGCACACGGCCTCCACACATACATACCTTTTTCCCTAATGTTTGTTTTTGGCTTTTTGAGACAGGTTCTGCCTGTAGCCTGGTACTTGCTATGTAGATCAGGCTGGCCTCGATCTCACAGAGGCCTGCCTCTGCCTTCTGAGTGTTGCTACCACATCTAGCCCTCTTTCCTGATGTTGATTAAACCCGGAGCCTTCACTAGTGAGCAGCACCTCCATCCTGCCCCTTCACTTTTAAAAGAGACTAAGAAGGTACTGTCAGAAGAAAAGCAGCAGTAGCTGGACTATAGCTCAGATGGCAGAGCACTTGCCTGGTGTGTATGAGGCTGAGTTTCATCCCCAGTACTGAAATGAAAACTAGAAACTGCAGGGTGTGGTGGAACACACCTTTAGGGAGGCAGAGGAAAGTGGATCTCTGAGATTGAGGTCAGCCTGGTCTTAATAGTGCGTTCCAGTCTAGGTAGGGCTACAGGGAGACCCTGTCTCTAAAAGATGGGGGGAGTGGAGAGGGGTGAGAGAAACTAAGCTGGAAGCTGGATGTGGTGGTACACATATAATCCAAGCATTTGGAAGATAGCAGCATGAAGATCAACAGGTCAGGGTCATCCTTGGCGATAGAGTGTTAGGCCAACCTAGGCTACATGAAGTGCCCCCCCCCCAAAAAAAGGCATCTCACTCTCTAATTTTTTTTGGGGGGGGGCGACTCATGAAGGAAAGAGTTTGACTGAGATTACCTAGAGATTAATTGTGTGGCCAGGCTACCCACACAGTACTTTTTTTTTTTTTCTTAAAGTGCTAGACCACTGGAATGTTTCTGTCTGCATAGACCCAATTGTTCATCAGGAATTGAGGGCCACCCGGTCATAGCTCCTTCACCATTGGGGTTGGGCACTGGATGCTGTGAAGTGGGGAGGAAGAATTTTCCACGGTGAGGGATGCTTGGCTTCTTTAAGGGTTGATTTTTGTTCTCCCTACAGGCCTTCTGGTTACCCACCATTGATGACTGATCCTCACAGTGCTCAGCTATTTCTCTACAATGAGGGCGGCCAACAGGAAAAACTCATAGGGGACTGAGATGACAGCGGGGTTGGATCATTTGACTTGGCTGGAGAACATCCTTTCATATGGCCTTCCCATGGGTGTACTGTACATCTGCTCAAAAGAAAAGACTTGGCTGAGCTTCTTCAGAGACTCTTGGTGCTGGAGATTCAGCTGGCACTCAGCCCTCCCAGCTCACGCCACCAAGCTCATCCAGAGGGGTGACCAGACTTGTGATTAGGTTATACTGGGGTTCTTAAGACCCCTTCAGTTTTGAATGTATTAGCTGCTGAAGAGCCAGTGAAGTCATCAGTTCTGCCCATCCTTCTCCCACCCCTATAAATGCATGGGAAACCACAGTTCTGGTTTTGAGATGCCTAGGGCAGCTCAGTGTCCCCTGCCCTCACCCTGCATGTCTTGTTCCTGGGTCTCCCTGTGTAATTGTGGTATTATTCCACAACCATCATGTACTTAGGTGCCAAACATTTACAGAAATAAGTCTTCATATACCTTGGGGTCAAAGAAAGGGACAGATAGCTAAAGATCTTGCTTATCAGGAGGCTTTGCATTTAGTCGTGTGTTGGTGGGTGGTTTGGGTAGATTTTAGGCTCTTATGTGAGCTAGCTAAAAAGCCCAAGAGCCTGGAAGGGAGGGAAGGGGGTAGTAGATGAGTTCTAAGAACTGAAAGGTTTAGCAGCCTGGTATAATCCCCCATCATCAAGACAAACCCACGGTCTTTCTGTGTTTGTGGCCGGGGCTGGGGGGGGCGGGGGGGCTACCATGCTTGGCTTATACAAAAGCGAGGTAGGAGTCTATTTTTGTGCCTGAGTCACATCACGTTTTCCTGTGGGCCAGTATTGTGGAATGAGTAAGTTGTTTACACTGATGCCTTCCTTTCCTGCCCACCACAAATTGTGTACATAGTCAGCAGATGATACTCCCTTTTCCCCAGCTCCTATGCAAGAGCTGATTCTAGGCCTGTGTTATATGTTATATTTAGCCTTTTTATATATGACCCTTGATTTCTGTTTATATTTGAGCACAGTATGCGTGTCCACTTAAATATATCTGCAGACATGGCACATATGTATGTGTGTATAGGCCTATCGTCTGTAGCATCTCAAGAGGTCAGCAGAAGGTCTAACAGGGACTCCTATGGCCTTTTTCTCTTTGGGAGTCTTAAGTGAAGCAGAGCTGCTTCTAATGTTTGCTGTTTTCATGGCAGCTAAGTGAGGATCTTGGGATGTTTCCCTCAAGCTCCTCAAGCCACATTGTGGGGCCCTCTCTACAGTATTAGTCTCTCCTTTGCTTGATTATGCTCTGTCTGCACCTGTATTCGTGTGACAGTCACTTTTGCATGGCTTCTATGCCTGGCTTATGGCATTTGGGAACAGGGTGCTGGAACCAGTGTTTTCAGTTTGTCAGAACTTTGCCAATCACAGGTCCCTCTTTACCTGCTGTGTCTGCTTTTGTGCCCTTGTTCTTGATTTCTCCTGAGAGAAAGAACTCTAGCTAGGCCCAGGGTGAGAAGAGTTGCAGCTGCCAATTGCCCTTTTTCCTAGTTTGGCAGAGTGAGTGGCAGTCAAACCATTTAAGCAGCAGTCCCTTCATCCAAGAGTACCCAGCTGCTAGGGGGTCAGTCAGGCCATCACTGCTGCAGTTTAGCAAAGGCATCAACTATCAATCACTAACACTTTTTTTTAAGGAATTTTTTTTTTTTTTTTGACTTGCTGTCCCAACTGAAAAGGCAAGAGATGGACACTGACTGAAATCTGCAATTGTTGCTACGCACCCACTGTGTAATTCTGCCTTCCCAGAGTGCACAGGATGGTCTGTGCTGTTACTGCCCACCTTTAAGGTCTGAAATTCATGTTAGGAGTAACTGTTGAGAGAGAATGCTTGGAGTTGGAGTAACCAGAAAGGCTCAGTAACTTGTAACTAGAGTGGCTTCCCCTGCAGCAGGAAAATACTTGTATCCGAGTTCGTCTGTGCCCAAAGCTGAGGCTCCATGCTCTTAAAGACTACTGCCTCACAGCCTCTACTGGACCCCATGGCAGCAGAGCCAACTCCAAAGTTGGGAGGAAAGGGAAACAATGCAACTGGAAGTCACATGATAGTGTGTGTAGCCAGGAGGCAAGATGGAAGACTGAGCTGGCCCTGCAGGGTTATATCCCTGGGTACTGGATACCACCACTCTCTAAAGAATCAGCTGATAAGTGACCTGACACTCACTGCTCAACCACCAGCCACTGGAGTATTTTTAAGTATTCCCCATTGCAATTGACAATTACTGCTTATTAAGGAAAATTTGGGAATTTTAAGATGAACCAGTTTGCCACCCAAATGGTACCACTGTTCAATCTTTTGATGTTAAATGTTCCTCTAGGTATTTCTGTGCATAGACTTGTGTGTTTACATAGTTATTCTACTGTACATACAATTTTATGTCTCTTTTGTACTTAACATAAACATTTTTTCCATGTTATCAGTCTTACACAGGATTTTATGGCCTCTTTAAGTTTCCTTAACATTATTTGCCTGGTTCCCAGAGGGAGGGAGGAATGGATTATCCCAGTATTCCAGCTCATGTCGAGCTGCCTATACTGTGTGAATTGTTGGGCCTCCTGCTAAAGCTTGGGGCAGTAGGAGTCCCCTGGCCTAACCTTCAACCCCAGGCTCCAATTAAATAGGCATAGGGCTAGTAATGAGACTGGGAAAGGTGAGCTTAACCCAACGTTGTTCTTCAGACCATCATCTATTTTGGTCTTCCTCACCTTCCTGTTTACCTCCAACCTTGATCAGATTGGCAACCTCTTGTTAGAATAAATTGCATCTTAGGAGTCCCTGGCAAAGTGTCTGGCAGGAGGCCTGGCTAGTTGTTTGGAGACCCATTGCTTGGCTTGTGCATTGGAAATTCCTGGAGCTTGGTACTTTCAGATCTTCAGAATGTAGGACCTGCTTCCTGCTTGGGCCTGCCACTTCTAAGTTAGAACATCCTGGGTTGGGTAAGGCTGGCCATGCTAAAGCCCTCTTGCTCAGACTAACCAAGGAAGAGGAGCCTGGTGGGAGGGCCTAGACAGATGGCTCAGCAGTACATGCTACACAATGCCCAGATCCTACTGTGGAAGGAGAACTGACTCCTGAAAGTTGTCCTGTTTTCCACACATGCCATAGCTTGCATTCCTAGAGGCACATACATAATAAAAGCATGGTAGGAGGGCTGCTGCAGCTACCTTGACCTGCTGTGAAGAACAAGGAGCAGTAGGTTGTGGGTAAGTTGGCTCAGAAGTTGGTGTGGGCAAGAGACAGGCACAGGATGTTGCCCACGCTTTGCTCAGAGAGAAATGTGCAAAAGAAAGAGGAAGTCAAACTCCTGCAGCCTGATATGGTGGCCCTATAGTATTTGCCAGGTGTCTACCAACCCTGGAGAGGCTGCACAGAGCTTCAGAGATCAGCTGTGGACAGATTCAGGCCTGACAGCCCAGAACTGTGTGGAAAATGGGAAATACCAATGTACTTTTTCCAATCTTCCCTGGACAGCATATAAGGAATGAAATCTATGATGAGGAAATAGGATCTGAGCATCTAAATTGAGGTAAATACCTAAGTTTACCATCAGCTTCATTGGAGCTTCCTGACTAGGACTGGTAAAGTCCCTTCAGTTGTATAATAGGAGTGGGTCAGGAAAGAGATAAAGCTCATGAATATAGTTTGTCTTATAATCCAAATATTTCCAGTATCTGAGCCACAGTAAGTTCTAAGTGGCATCAGTGGTTTTTGTGGGGTTTCTTTTGGGGGGGGATACTTTTGAAATGGGGTCTCCCTGTTGCCACAGCTGACTTGCAACTCAGTATGTAAGCCAGGCTGGCCTAGAACTCAGAGATCCACCTGTCTATGCCTCCAGAGGGCTGGGCTTAAAGGCATGCACTAGCCCAGTGTTTTAATGGGAAGATGAAGAATGAAGTCCATCACAGAATAAAGCCTCAGGCTCTGACTTGTTTCCAGCTAAGTCTAAGCTTTACAGGAATCTGCACTCAAAAATAAGTGAAAAGAGCACACGGGAGGCAGAGGCAGGTGGATCTGTGAGATTGAGACCAGCCTGGTCTACTGTGTAGCAAGATCAGTGAAAAGGATTCTGCTGTAGTGGTACAGAATTGTAATCTCAGTACTTTTGAGGTGGAGGCAAAAAGAGGGAAGATCACAAGTTTGAGGCCAACTTAGGCTACATAGTGAATTTCAGACCATCTTTTCCTAAGAGACCTGTCACTGAGATAATGGGAGTGTCATGTGTACTCCAGAGGCAGAGGCAAAAGGACCCCAAGGTTGAGGCCAGTCTGGTCTGTAAAACAAAATTTTTCAAAAAGGCCAGGTGGTGCACACCTTTAATCCTAGCACTCAGGAAACAGAGGCAGGTGGATCTCTGAGGCCAGCCTGGTCTACATATTGAGTTCTAGGCCAACTGGGGCTACAGAGACCCAGTCTCAAAAAAATACCGAAAAAAAAAAAAAAGCGAAACAAAATATATAAAGGTGTTTTTCTCTGGCAACAGTAAGGGTCTGGCCAGAGGAAACAGTCCTGATTATATGCAAGTTTGCACAGTAGAACTAAAAGGAATCACTGAAAAGACTGCAAGAAACAGCAAAAGGTGTCAGTCCAACCTAAACAAACAACTCATGATTCACATGGGATCTTCTGCATACAAATATTTAGTAATAGGTGTTGGCTGTGTCCCTGCAGGGAAAGCTGCATAAGGCCGATGCTGGTGGCAACAGGTGAGTGAACCCTTGGAAGGCAGGCAGGGTAGAGTGGGCAGGAGGGCGTCAGAAGTAGTGAGGACAATGAAAGGCCACAGAAAGTGCAAGGTTAGAACTGGCTGGCTGGGTTGTATTTGGCATAAGCCAAGTATAAATTACTGGGGAACAACGAAACAGTCCAGGGAAAAGCAACCAGGTTGGTGGCCAAGCTACATGCAGTGACAAGCACTCAGCCCAGTCAACTCTGGAAACTTCTCTTACCCCTTTATGCTCTTCCAACTTTATCTGGGGTCTGTGCCCTCCAGTGGCAGAGGAGGGCAGGACAGGACCTGTTCTCAGGAGCTGTCTAAGATGGCTGCTCCAGCAGGCATGAGGCTACCCAAAGGTTTCTACAAGACACCTTGCATGGATGGAAGTTTGGAACTGCTTGCTCCTCTTTAATACCCTTTACCCTTTAGGCTGCTGAGGATCCTGTCTGAAGAGCCAACACTTGTTCTATACCTTATAAAGAAAGTGCTTCTGCGAGAGAAGTGTTACCATCACAGAAGGCAGGACATGGTAGACTGGGTCTCTGCATCCTTCCTTCTGCTACTCTCTTTGAAATAGATGAATTAGGGTGGAAGGCTGTTAGGGTGTTGGGCTATGGCTAGCTGGGGACAGGACAGGCAGGGCGTGCTGCTGGCCATAATGGAGGTATACCCAGACTACATCAGCCTTGGAGAGGCTCTGGGATGCAGTATCCGAATCCTCAGTGGTCACTGCCCCCTTGGCCCTGACTGTGCAGAGGAATCACGAACACAGAGACATCGTCGTAGGACACCTGCTCTTCGGTGGCACCATCCTCCTTCCCCTGTGTATTGGATATCAGCATTTTGGCCAGCTCCGAGAACCTGTGAAGACCACCCTGCAGATATACTTTAGGGGACAGAGCAAAAGGCCAAGGCCTCTAGAATTCAGTGCACAGGGCAGGACATCTGGGACCCCCTAAATGTGCAACTAGGACAAGCAAGCAACAACCTAAGGGGGTGCAAACTGGACTACAGGAATCTGACTCTTTTGTTTGTGTTTTTTTTCTCTGAGTCTCATCCCCTGGGAAGCTTAAGTCAGCCCTGATCCTAGCTACCTACCCTGAGTTAGTGCTGTCTTCTCAGAACAACTTGGTATTTCTACTGGCACCAACCCCGGCCCAGGCAGGTCCCCCGCAGCTACAGTAAGTACCTGTGTGGGTCCCCTCGGTTCCCTGGGAGGAAGCTCCGTACAAGCCGGGCCACCTGCTCATTGGACAGGACATCCCAGAGCCCATCAGTTGCCATAACAACCACATCCTCCTCCTGCAGTGCCAGCTGGTCCACATCCAGTACAGTCACCTGCAAGTTAAGCCTGAGGATCGTGCAATGCTCCCTTCTGACCCTCACCAGGCTTACTCTGCATTCCTAGGCAGATGGAACCTGGGATGGGCTACATTGTTCCCTCACCTGTGGAATGGAGAGCAAGAAGGGCTTGAGCTGGATGTTCGTGTCAAGAACTCTGAGCTGATGGTCTCCCAGGCCTCGGGAGACAGCCAGTGTTCCCAGTAACCGAGCCTAGGGGCAGAGGAGGCATGAGGTGACGGTGAATGGCTCAGCAAATGCCCAGTGCACTATGGCTCTACTGAGCACAAAGGGAGATGTGAATAGTAGCCTTTCAGGGGAAAAACATCATGTGGGAACAGCCCCCAGAACACTGGCCACAGCCACTAGTAAAGGATAAAGAGGCTCACACCTCCAGAGAGCACTTGAAGGGATTCTTGGAGGGGCCAGGCACTGACCTGCCGACCCTGTCCATGGATCAGTGGATACTTGAGATCTGATTTTTCCACCCATTTGTAGCTCCTATAGGAGCAGATGAAGATCAGCCCAAGGCCTACCTGCTACTGCAGCTTCTCCAACCTCATGCCCAGCCTCTGCACACCCACAGTACCCACCATGCCCAAATAGAACTGCCACAGGTCATACAGTTCAGTGTGGACCCCAACCCTTTCCCACCATGTTCCCCCATCCCACCAGCTCACCAGCCGCTCATGTGGTGGTCTCTGAACAAAACCTTCTGCCCCAAGTCATCCCCCTTCAGCCGACGTGGGAACTCTAGTCGGGTAAACTCACCAGCCAGAAGCTCAGGGTAGACAAAGGCCTGGGATAGGAAGGTCATACTCACATCAGCCTCCCTCCTAGGGCCCCATGTGACCCTGAATGCAGGACCTGAAGGTTCCCTGGCTAAGGGCACCTACCAGCTGCTGGATCCGTTGCCGTTCTGTCTCTGGGGTGAACTCAGAGCTCAGTGGCCGTATCTCATCCCTCCGTACCAAGATAGCCCTAGATAGGTTGGGGGAAGGGGGAGGTAGTGGACGTTGATGAGGCAACCTCCATGCCTATGTCCACCCTCCTGCCAGCCCCTTCTCCAGCCACCTGAGGCCAGTTCTGGCCATACCAATCCCTTGTTCACATCCCTCCACAACTTCCTAGGACCTTTAGGCTGGCATCTGAGGTTCCTACCACCCTGGGTTTTTTTTTTTTTTTTTTTGGTCTTTTTGAGACAGGGTCCCCTTGTAGCCCCAGCTGGCCCGGAAATCCCTATTTAGACCAGGCTGGCTGGCCTTGAGAACTCACAGAAATCTGCCAGCCTCTGCCTCCCAAGTGCTGGGATTAAAGGCGTGCGCCACCACACCCGGCCCAGTCCTCATTTCTAACCCTCCACTTTCAGCCACCTGCTATGGTCCCCACTACTTCTGGTGCCCTCCTGCCCACTCTACCCTGCCCACCCTTCCAAGAGCTCACTCACCTGCTATCGCCAGCATTGGCCACATACAGTTTTCCCTGAAGGGCCACAGCCACTAGGGCTGTGCAGCCACCTGCCTGGCCTGAGGCCTCCAGTTCCCTCCCAATCACGTCATCCTGAAGTAAACCAAGGTCATTATAGTGACTTGGGTACTGGCCACCATCTCCCCAGTCCCCCACCCCTTCCAGCTGACTTCCCACATGCAGGCCTATAGTCGCAGACTAGAGCCTGGCCATTAACTCCCAAATGTCTTTGTCAGGAGTATTAGACAAGGAAAGTGCTACTCAAAACAGAGGAAGAGAAACCAATCCCTGCACTGAGGATCAACAGCCTGCACCATAAGATGATATAGGTGAGAAATCAGCACACAATAGGAAGTGGATAAGCAGAAGGTTAGGCTGAAAACGATGGTAGTTATTATTAGTAATGGGCAAATCAACCCAACCTTCTCTCAGAGCTAGCCCAAGGAACTGGCATGACTATACAAGTGATACCCCACTTCCAAGTCCCAAGGAACAAACCTTCCCTTCTTCCCCACAGGCCAACTCACACATTCCTGGAAGGCACTCTCCAGAGCCCCGATCACCAGGTCTTCTGCCCGGATGCCCTTTTCCTCCACAAACTGGGGGTCACTGGGACAGACGCAGCAGCCACTGAGGTGCATCGGGGGCTGAGCGGCCACTACACCTTCTACCACAGCCTCCAGCTGCCGGCGCAGACAGGAGTGCAGGGTGTTAGCAGCCAGAATGGCTGCTGCAGGACCGCCGTGCCCATCAAACAGAGCCCAGTAATGACCTGTCAGGAACTGCACAGGAAGGGCTCCATGTCAGGCTTTGCCATACTTCCTCAGCTGCCCAGCCTCAACTAGGACATGGGGCACTGGGACAAGAGTCTCAACCTGCACATCCTGGTCGCAGCCTGGAAGAGGGGTTCGGGCAGAGCTGCACTCACCTCCTCTGGGCACACTGTCAGCCACTCTTTATCTTCTTCAAGTCCAAACTCACATCGCCGAATACATAGCTTCCCACAGGCAGCCTGATCTTCATTAAACTCGGATTTCTCTGCATTGATGACTCTGGGCCAGAAAACAGACAGTGATCCGCCAGGGAGACATCTATGTCTTGTGGGCAGAGAGACCCCACCTGGGGCAACTGCTCCTGAGTGCTGTCCCTCACACCTGGACAAGTGATCTCTTTTATTATTATTACTACTATTGTAATATGTGTATAAGTGTATTGCTGGCATGTAGGTAGATGTACCCATGTCATGCAATGCCTGCAGAGGTCAGAAGATGGCGTCTGATCCCCTGGAACTGGAGTTACTGATGATTGTTAGCTGCCATATGGGTGCTGGGAACTGAATCCGAGTCTTCAGCAAGAGCAGTCAATGCTCTTAACCTCTGAATGATCTCTCCAGTCCCCCCCCCCCCTTTTTTTTTAAACTATTTTGTGTTGGGCTGGAGAGATGGCTCAGCAGTTAAGAGCACTGATTGCTCTTACAGACGACCCGGGTTCAATACCCAGCACCCACATGATGTTTAAAAACCACCTGTAAATACGGTTCTAGGGGAATCCGATGCCTTCTAACCTCCACAGGCATTGCAAGACACCGGTGCACTTACATGCATGCAGGCATAATATTCATACACATTAAAAAAAAAAAAAAAAAGAAAAGGACTTCACCTGTGTACTATCATGCTTGCCTACAAATTATAAATTTAAAAAGAAACTATTTTGTGTGCATGCGTGTGTGCATGTGCGTATGTGTGCACAGGCTGGAGGTGGACGTTAGGAATATTGCTCTCCACCTTATATTTTGAGACAGATAGGTCTCTTACAAAGCCTTGGGCTCAGCAAATCAGCAAGGGTGGCTGGCCAGCAAGCTCCAGCAGTCCTCCTGTATCTGCCTCCCCAACGCTGCGACTATAGGCCCAAGTTGTAACACCCAGCTTTTCACAAGATTGCTGGGGATCCGAACACAAGTTTTCATGTTTGCTCCACAAGCCTATTATTACTTTACCCATTGAACCATCACTCCCTTTCACTGGCTTTGTAACTAAAGGCAAAGTCGGAGCCCTGAACTTCTAAACCCGGTCTGCTGCCCCAGAATTTAGGAGTAAGAGTGGACTGACTAGGGAGACCTGGGACTCCAAAGGGAAAGCCTGAACCCTGTCCCACCTCTGTCCGAGCCCTGTCCCACCAAGGACAGGTCAAACCCAGGGTGAGAGCGGGGTGGGGCGAGTACTTCCAAAGCCCATAATGCTGGGACGCCGAGTCCAGTCGAGTGCTGGCCCTTCCGGTTGGAACCTTCTCCAAAAGAAAATACCGGAGTTGGGTAAGAGGAAATGTGGTCAGGAGACCCGGGGTTCTCCACAGGTGGGGTACGGGTGTCCACACACCCTGTTTCCTAGGTCAGCAGAGAACCTCAAGCTGGATCGGGGAGGGCGTCGGGAAGGGACACGGGGGAGGGGACACGAGACGGGGGCACTCACTCGGCATAGCCCGCGTTCCACGGCAGCGCGTGGCCCCGCGCTGGGCTGCGCACCGGCCGCGCATCCGGGCGGCGCGAGGCGTCTGCAGCGCCGGGGCTGGACCCGCGCAGGAAGCGGGGCCGGCGATAGGGCACCGGGCTAGAGTGCGGCCCGGATGGACGCGGCGCGGGGAGTGGATCCCTGGGCAGGAAACGGCGCCGGAACCAGCCGGCAGACATGGCGTGGCACCCTGGGACTGCTGCGGAGACCCACCCCACCGCCCGCCCGCACCCGGGAGGAAGCCACGGGCCTGGGGGCGGGACGGGAGCAGGGCCTAATATGGGACGGCCACGCTCCAGCCCCACCCTCCCGCCCCGAGTGTGCGTGATGTGAGCATCCTGCCACCACCTCTAAGATGCAAACGCGGTCATCAGCCCCACTTACAGGCCGGAAAACTGAGGCCTAGAGAAGCGAAGCTGTGTGCCTGAATCAGAGCATCACTGGGCTGGGGCGAAGGTTCACCCGCACCTGTAAGACACTGGCCTCTAAGAGGGACAGGCCCCTCCCTCCACCCTACGGCCTGTGGAGGGTCTTTCAGAATGGGTGCTGGGCGGGTGTCCCGCAGAGCCTCAAGCCTCCTGCTGCTGCGCGGCTATCTTACGCAAGGGGAAGATGGGGACAGGATGTCCTTGGAGGTGGTGTGAGGCCGACGCGTTGAGTAAGAGTGTGCCAGAACACAGGGTTCCCTGAGGAGGGCTCCGTTCCTCACCTACCCAGCCTGGCACCCTTCCCCTACACATGGGGTTTAGTAGTCACCCTGGTCCTCCCCATCCTACCCCCCTGCTTCTGCTGCAGAGGCTGATCTCCCAAATGGCTGCCCCTTCAGTCAAGATGGCTTCTCTGGGCGGCACAAGATCCTACTGTGAGTGCTGTTGGAAATTTAACGGGGAGACAACGTAGTTAGCTCCTCCCAGCAGGTCAGAGTTGCAACCTAAAGCTAAGGGAAGTGAAAAAATTTCACAGATGTCTTTTGCTGTGTGACAGGGTCTTGGCTATATCTCCCAGGCTGTCCTGGAACTTGCTATGTAGGCCAGGCCGGCCTCAAACTCAAGGCAATTCTGCCTCTGTCTCCGGAAGTGCTGGGACTACAGACAAGCACCACCACACCTGGCTCAAGGTGTCTCCTAACCCCTAGCTAGCTGTCACTGTGAGGGACTAGCAGCAGTGTCTCCTTTTATATCTCCATGTTAACAGAGCATTTGTCACCCTTCTGTCACCTGTGCCCTGCTCCCTGTGCAGGATGGGACTTCCATTACTTAATGGAGGGCTCTGGCCCACAAAGGGGAAGTGTGGATCCCCAAGACTGTGGAGTTTCCATTACAACAGTGCAGCTGAATCAAACCACCCATCTCTGCATATTTCTCTTCCCCTTTCCTCCTCCAGGAAGCTAATTCAAAGTCTCTAAGCCCCCAGGGATGGTTGTTTGAGGAGTCACACCTTTGCCTGGCCTCCACACCTAAGCACAGGCTCATCCTCAGTAGGACCCACTTCCTTCAATCAGCCAGACCTGCTCTGCTGGGAGTTCCTCCACCCAAGAAGGAAGATTTTCAGGAAGAGAGCTGTGCCCCAGTAGCCTGGGGGTTAACTTATTGAGTAACAGGCACACACCTAGACTTGGGAATGCAGTGCTAATGGAGATAGCTCTCTGAGCCCTGTGGTGATAGGAAAGTTCTGGTAGATGTTTCTTGACCCAGCTATAGGAGGTGGGGACAAAGTCAGAGAAAGTTTCCCAAATGGCATCCATGACTGAGACAGAAATGGACTAGGGACCCAAGATAAAGCAGATCTATTTCAGTCAGAGGAGTGGGGGATAACCTCCTCTTCTCCACCAGCTCATGACTCAGAGGTTCTTAAAAATCTAGGAAGAGCCGGATGTGGTGGCTCACGCCTGTAGTCCCAGCACTTGGGAGGCAGAGGCAGGCGGATCTCTGTGAGTTCAAGGCCAGCCTGGTTTACATAGTGAGTTCCAGGACAGCTGGAGCTACAGGGAGACACTGTTTCAAAAAGACAAAAAAAAAAAAAAAAAAAAAAAAAAAAAAAAAATCTAGGAAGAAACAAAGCAAACTCACTATTCCCCAGTTTACTGTCTTGAACTCCAGGATAAAACTCCAGTCCTAGGCAGCTCTGGGCAGACAGACATCATAGTCAGTCTGTTGCCCAGCTTACCCACTCTACATACGCAGAGCCCTGTGGAGCCTTACAGCAATCAAATCTTCCCTGTTCCAAGATGGCCTGAGTGTTCCCTCAGTCTCACCAGGCTCCTCTGGCTCCCAAGTACCTAAGTGCTTGTCGTCTTGCCTGGAGTCCAAGCCTTCTGTTTTAGTTTACCCACTCATTTTGCTGAAGCACATCCTCTAGCCATTTTCCAAGAAAACTGGGAGGTAATCTTTGTTTTTGATGGGTGCTTGAGCTTAGAATTCTGACCACTCTGTTCTCTGGCTGCCATTACTGCTGATGAAACCCAGCATTCTTTGCATTCTTTAGATTGGCCTATATTTTCACTTTTCTCTTTCCAGAAGCTTAGAGGTTCTTCTCTCTCTGGTGTCTGAAATTGCAAATGAGATTCCTTGGGGTGAATTTTTCTCTATCCTTAAGCTGGATCCTCCCAGTGACCATGCAACATTTCACTCCCTAGTGATACCCCTTCTCCTGCTCCAATGAACCCCAGGCTACCTCTTGACTTGGAAGTCTCTCCTCACCTAACTCAGCCAGTGCTAGAAATGGGGAGAAGGGTGGGTGGCAGGGCAGCATGTCAAGAAAAAGGGTTATCCTAGGCTGAAGAGATGGCTTAGTGGGTAAGAGCACTTGTGTAGAAACATGAGGACCTGAATTCAAATTCCTAGCACCCATATTAAAAAAAAAAAAAAAAAAGCTGGGCATAGCTGCACATGCCTGTAACCTTAGTATTGGGGGTTGGAGACAAGTGGATCCTGGGAGCTTATTGGTTGGCCAGCCTGGCTGGAATGGTGAACTTCAGATTCAGTGAGAGACCCTGCCTCAAGGGAATATGGCAGAGAACAAGCCAGGGAGGCAGTCCAGCTCTTCCTCTGGCATTCACATACTCTCACGTGTTTGCATCACACACACAAGTAAATTTTTTTGTTTTCTAAAACTAAAAAATAGGAGACAGGACTAGAAAGATGACTCAGTTAAGAGCACTTGCTGCCCTTGGCAAAGGACCCAAGTTCACTTCCCAGCACCCATGTTGGGTGGTTCACAACTGCCCATAACTCCAGCTCCATGGGATCTGACACCCTTTTCTGGCCTCCAGGGACACTGCACTCATGTGCACATATCTACACACAGACATACATGCATACACATAATTTTAAAAATAAATATTTAATTATTTTTAATTTTGCTGAATTTTTGCGATTTTCATTTGGTAGTATTTAGGTCTCCCCCTACCCACACCTCCCCCCACTGCCCAATTCAATGTACGAGACTCCCCTATATATGCAATATGGCCTATAGAGTCTGTCCCTATATGTCCCTCAGCATGGGTCCATTCACTGGAGCCTGGTCAACCTACCAAAAGTCCCATTCCTGTAAAAGACTGTCTCGTCCCCTCCCAGCAGCCATCAGCTTTAGGCTGGGTTGGCATTTCTTACCTACTTTCCCATGTCTATGCAGAGATTTTGTCTGGTTTGAGCTTGCATCTGATTTGTACATGCTATCACCATTGCTGTGAGTTCAGATGTGTAACTACCAGCTGTCTGGACAACTGTTTTCTTGTGGTCATCCACCACCTCTGGTTCTTACAATCGTTCCATAATGATCCCTGAGCCGTGGGAGACAGAGGTTTGAAATAGGTGTCCTATTCACATATGAGCACTCTGCAGCCTCTTGTTCTCTACACATTGGCCTGTTGTGAGTTTCTGTGTTAATCACTATCTGCTCATAAGGAAACCTCTCTGGTGAGAGTTGAAAAATGCACTCATCTTTTGTATAGAATTTGCATTAAAATGTGTCACTTAGGGCTAAGTGTCTCACAAACAATTACTCTCTGCATTTGACCCGTTGTGGAGCTCTGTAATAACCTCCATATGTTGCAAAAAGAAGCTTCTTTGATGAGTGGTGAGAGGTACACTTGTCTGTAAATATGAGTGTGCATATTTTAAAAAATATTTTATTTTTTAATATTTTATTTGCTTTTATTTTTTTATGTATATGCGTGTATTGCCTGCATGTAGGTAAGTGCACCCATGTTGTGCAGTGCCCGCGGAGGAGAGAAGACGCTGTCGGATCCCCTGGAACTGGAGTTACAGACAGATGTTAGCTGCCATGTGGATGCTGGGATTCGAACCCGGGTCTTCTGCAAGAACAGCCAGTGTTCTTAACCACTGAGCCATCTCTCCAGCCCCCTATTATTTTTATTTTATGTGTATGTGTGTATTGCCTGCATGTAGGTAAGCGCACCTGTGTCGTGCAATGCCCATGAAGGGACAGAAGAGGCTGTCGGATCCCCTGGAACTAGAGTTAGGACAGTTGTTAGCTGCCATGTAGGTGCTGGGATTTGAACCCAGGTCTTCTGCAAGAGCAACCAGTGTTCTTAACCACTGAACCATCTCTCCAGCCCCGAGGGTACATATTTAGAATATAGTAAGAAAATATGTTGGTCTAGGGATTTGGCAAAAGTAGATTTCTTTCTAGGATCTACGACCTCTCCAGTCATGTGTATTTAGATATATTTACAGTACCACACATATGTTCCCTCCCATTGACTAGGCCTTAATTCCAATTAGACAGCTGTTGATTACTCCCAAGATAAAAGTGCCACTACTGCACCAACAGCAAGAGTTTGCTGGGTCAGTCGTTAGTTTATTAGACCTTACAGTTGGGTAGGACCATTGATTAGTGTTCTCCCTTGGCAGCTTGCATAGTTCCATGAGAGCTAGTCTTCAGGGAGGAGGCTTCCTGGTCACCTCCAGCAAGAATGCTCCAAGTCCTGTGTCCGAAGTATAACCTGTCTTCAGCAATAGGGTCTTACATTCAAATTCTGGAAGGCAATCAAAGGCTGTGGCAATAATCTGTGTTATTTGGGGAGTCTCTTGGACTATCCTAACAACTCAAAGGGAGGTTTCTCCTGCCTGACACTGTGTTTTTTGTTATATAGCCTTTAGCTATACATATGCATCCATATATATATGTTGTATGTGTATTTTTCAGTAGGACTTTGAACTAACATATTGCATATATTTCCCTCTGGTTTTTTCACACCATCTAAGAATTATTTATCTCACCTCTCACTCCCCCTGTATAACCCTCCCTACTCCCTCCCCAGTTAAAGTACCCCCCTTTTCCCCATTCCCCCTTAGTAACACCTGTCTCCTACTATCCCCCTCTCTCCAGCTTCTTTCTTCCCTTTACTCCCATGGTTCATTTCCATTTTGCTGGCTCCTGCAGTTACAGCAGGAGATGTACTCACATCTAAGGATTTTTTTTTTTTTTTTGGTCTTTTTGAGACAGGGTCTTCCTACAGCCCCAGCTGTCCTGGAACTCAGTATGTAGACCAGACTGGGCTTGAACTCAGAGATCCACCTGCCTCTGCCTCCTGAGTGCTGGGATTAAAGGCGTGCGCCACCAAACCCAGCTAGGATTTTTTATTTTATGTGTATGAGTGTTTTGCCTGCATGGATTTAAGTGTACTCACTACATGCATACATGCAATGCCTGCAGAGGTCAGAAGAGGGTGTCAGATCCCCTGGAACTGGAGTTACAGACAATTGTGAGCCACCACATGGATGCTAGGAACCAAACAAACCTAGGTCCCCTGCAAGAGCAGTCAGTGCTCTCAACAGCTAAGTCATCTCCAGCCCCAATTTTAGGTTCTTTAACTTCATATTTTCATGACTCTCTATTTATTTATTTATTGATTGATTGATTGATTGATTGACTGATTGATTGATTGATTGTCTTTTTGAAGCAGGGTCTCCCTGTAGCCCCAGCTGTCCTGGAACTCACTATGTAGACTAGGGTGGCCTTGAACTCACAGAGATCTGCCTGTCTCTGCCTCCCAAATGCTGGGACTACAGGTGTGTACCACCAAGCCCAGCTACGACTCACAATTTAAAAAGTATAAAAATCTTTAGCAGGGGCTGGAGAGATGGTTCAGCAGTTGGGAGCACTGACTGCTCTTGCAGAGGACCCGGGTTCGATTCCCAGCACTCATATGGCGGCCATGAACCGTCTTTAACTCCAGTTCCAGGGGAATCTGAAGCCCTCTTCTGACCTCCATGGCATTGCACAACATGGGTGCACTCACATACATGCAGGCAATACACTCATACACATAAAATAAAAATAATAAATAAAATATTTTTTTTAAAGTCTTTAGCAGTAATTGTCCCCCACAACCTATTCCCTGGCTCCCCAGAGATATTCTATGTTATTAATTTCTTGGAAATTGTTCCAGCAACATTAAGGGTATTCTGTGTGTGTGTGTGTGTGTGTCTCTCTCTCTCTCTCTGGTATGTGTAAAATCATAATCTATGCTGTATTTTGCATCTAACTTTTTCTTATGAAATCCCCTGGTTATCTATGTGAGTGCTGGAAAAGCAAGCTGGGGGCTGGAGAGATGGCTCAGTGGTTAAGAACACTGGCTGTTCTTGCAGAAGACCCGGGTGTGAATCCCAGCACCCACATGGCAGCTAACAACTGTTTGTAACTCCAGTCCCAGGAGATTCGACAGCCTCTTCTGACCTCCTCGGGCATTGCATGACAGAGGTACACTTACCTACATGCAGGCAATACACATATAAACATACAATAAAAATAATAGTAAATAAAAAAATTTTTAAAGTTTTAAGAAAAAAGGAAGCTGAGCAGGGAACCAGGAGAGCAAGCCAGTAAGCAGCGTTCCTCCATGGCCTGTGCTCCAGCTCCTGCCTCCAGGTTCTTGCCGAGTTCCCTGATGAACTGTGACCTGGGAAATGTAAGCTGAATAAACCCTTTCCTCCCCAAGTTGGTATTGGTCAGAGTATTTTTTTACAGCAATGGAGAGACAAACTAGGACAAGTAGTTACGTTTTTCCTTGCTGTGACAAAGTATTGGACAAAAAGCAACTTAAGGAGGGAAGAGTTTATTCTGGGTGTTTGAGAGTACAGTCCATCATGGTGCGGAAGACCTGGACAGCAGGCGCATGACACACTCTGCCTTCCCCAGGATACAGAAAGAGTTGGATGAGTGCTTAGCTCACTTTCTCTTTTTTATTCAGATCAGAACCCCAGCCCATAGAATGGTGCTGCCCATATTTAGGGTGGCTCTTCCCTCCTCAGTTAAACTTTTCTGGCAATTCCCTCATAAACAAGCCCAAAAGTTTGCTCCTACAAGTTGACAATCAAGATCAATCATCATACTGTTCTATATAAAGTTTTCATAAACTTACCATCTTATCAGTCTATTTTCCCACCCTTGATAATCACAGGGTCTGTTTGTTTGTTTGTTTGTTTTGACACAGGGTCTCCTGTTGCCCCACATGGCCTGGAAGTTGCTATGTAGACCAAGCTAGCCTCACCTCAGCTTCCTGAGTTCTGGGATTAAAGACATGTGCCACCACACCCAGCCCTCAGACATTTTCACTAGGTAGCAGCTGGCCTGGAACTATGTAGACCAGGCTGGCCTTGAGATCTCACAGAGATCTGCCTGCCTCTGCCTCCTGAGTGCTGGGATTAAAAGCCTGTGCCACCACACCTGGCTTATTGCTTAGATTTTAAATGTTTATGTCTTAGATCCACCTGTTCTGAAAATATCAGAAAGAGAAGGCAGCCTGGCCCTGGGCACCCTGCTCCTCACAGGTGCTAAGGAGCCCTCTGCCAGCTCTTCTCACGTTTCTGACTGAAACCAGATCTGTGCTGGAAGTGGAGTCTGTTTTGGTACCCTGCTTGGGCCTTGGGCTCCTTGCCCACAACCCAGGAAGTGAAGCAGAGGACAGGGCATACACCCCAGTACCCAGGGAGTGCCCCTTCTCTCATTACAGAAGTGTGAGGGATGGACTTACAGGGATACCGGCCGCCACCCAAAAGGACTTCCTCTTCTTTTTTCCAATTTCTAAAGTAAAGTAAGATTCCGTGTGGCCAGATCACTTCACCTCTAAACCTGTAGTCACTGTACCCTGGAGACAGTAACTCTAACTTCTGCAGTGTCATCAGGGCTAAATGCATGCATCCCGCACATAGCATGTGAGGAGCACCCACACCAGCTACCAGGAGGGGCGCCAACGCCATTATCCTGTCTCAGAAACCCCAGATCAAAAAAGGTGGCCAGCTTCTCTTCCCATCTTGTAATCCAAAACTCCGGACAGGGTCTTGAGTGTACCGACTCAGTCACTGGCTCATTCTGACACACGCACAGTAGTCTAGAAAAATACCGCACGCTGTTTTGTAGTAGCATCAGGCAAGTCTGCTAGGAATGGAGACAAGTTCCTTAGGGATTCTGAGACTAAGTTCTGGCCGTTCTTCAACTTCGGGGCCTTTGCACATGCAGTTCCCTTTTCGAAGACTCTTCCCTGTGCTGTGCTGGGTCACCCTCAGACTCTCCTCCGTATAGGCCCCTCGTAGTCGCTGGACATCGTTTACCTGATGATGGTAGATGGTCTAGGCTCCCGTCTGGAGGAACGGTGTATGGACCACAACTGCCCCCACGCGCGCAGTGTCCCCCGAGAGGCGCTCAGGAAACGTCTCCCCGGGCAGGGATCCCTCACATTCACACACACGCGTGCCGGTCCACATTCAGATCTCCTTCATGGTCACAAATTGGGGTACGTCTAGTTGGGGCCCCTACCCGCTAACGGACCGGGCAACAGGTGCACAGTCCCTCCACGCCCAAGCAGGGATCCACCCACAGACCTCCCGGATCAGTGCCCACAGGCGAACGCCCACCCAACCCTCGGGCACACGCAGCCCCTGGTAACCTGCAGAGGCGGTAGCGTGCGGAACGCGGCGACACCCACTCATCCAGACCCGGGTGTCTGCTGTGCGCACGCGCGGTCTCAGTGCCCGCCTCTGCCGGCTTGGCTCGCCGAGGGCGGGGCTTCGCTGGGGGCGGGTCCTGCGGCACCGCCCGGGAAGCTGCGCGAAGCTCGGTGGCGGTGCCACATCCTCCTCCTCCTGGTCCAGGCCAGCCGAGCCCAGCCCGGACAGAGCCAAGCCGAGCGCTCCGACGGCGCGGGCGAGCCATGGCGCACCAGACGGGTATCCACGGTGAGGGCGAATGGAGCGTGGGCAAGGGGCCCAGAGGCTCGGCGGCATCCTCTCTGCTTTCTGCCCCTTCCCCCTCCTCTTCCTCTTCCTCATACCCTCGGGAGAAGCTTCCTGTTCTCCTTTGCAGCCGCTGATTTGGGGGTGGGCACATCTGGAGGAGTACAGGCTTGCTGTGCATAGCCGGGGTGGGTGCCAATGGACGCCCACAGCGAGGGTGGAAGTATCCATGGACCCATCTCGCGGCGGATGTGCCTGTGTATGCCCGTTTGGGTATTTTCTTCCTTTCTGGGGGTGGGGTGTACGAGGATGTGCACATCTGGAAAAGTGTACGCGCATGTGCACGCTTCCTCGATGTACAGTCCAGTGTATGCACATCTGGATACGATTTGGTTGTGCCTGTCAAGACTCCTTTCTATGCATGCACTAGTGACTGTTTTGTACATGGTAGGTAGCATAGACCATCTTAGGCATTTGTGGAAGCCTGCACACATCTATGGGTGTCTGCATGTGTGACCAGTTCAGACGTATCTCAGTGTGCATGTGTTACCATGGCTGCAGGCACACAATGTCTTATGATTTTTATGGGCTTATGTGTGTAGGGGGGAGGAGAATGTCCTCACCTTTGCCCCTCAGGACCCTCACACTCCCAACAGGCTAGGCTGTAGAAAACCTGGGATAGGGTCATCTTAAATAGAATGGGGAAAGATGAACATCTGACCTTGACCTCTGACCTCCCTTCTCTTTTTCCACTGGGTTCTCTTGAGTCAGCCAGGGTTACAAAGTCCTAACTCCAGGTTGGAAACAGGGAAGAGGGTCCAGATACAGGCTTTGTAGGGGAGATCCCACCCCTACCCTCATCTTCAGGAGTCTCCTACTGCTCAGAGCATCACAACCACAACCCCTCCTCAGGAGCCCCAGTTTCCTCCTTGGACAGACTGAGAGGGAAACTGGGAGGCACATACTCTGCCCTACTTGGCCTCAGTGTCCCCATCTGTTACTGGCTGGGGAGTGCTGCTTCCCTGCCCTCAGGGAAGGCCCAGGCTGCTTGCCCAGACAGCTTGTTGGTTTGGCCATCGGCCACTCCTGTCACCACATCATGATCCCCTGCCCAGGGTTACTATCATCGACCTGCCTGACCGCCTGAATCCCCACTTGTGGTTGTGGTCACTTGGTGGATGGATAGACCTGAAAAGCTTTCCCTGACCCTACAGCCCTACCCTGCTGGGCCTAAGCATACAAGAGTCTGGATGAGGGCTGGCCTCCCATAGGTAGGCCAGCATCTGTAGGAGATGGAGGGGAGAGCTTCCTGACTCAGCCCCAAAGTGGGGAACTGCCAGGGGGAATCTGCCTGGCCTACCCCCTTCCTTCCCCGTTGTCTGAGATGAGCTGCTGCCTCCAAGTGAAAAGAGGCCCTGAGAAATTAACCACCTCTCTGCTCCTGCTGACTGGTCCTGTAGCCCAGGCCCTGCCTTATCCTCTAATTTCCCAGGCAGTGCGACAGGCCTGCCTAGGGGACTTTCTAGCCCTCTTGCCTATGGATACCTCCTTTCCTGTCTTGGTTCTAAAGAGGTAAGACAGGTGAGACCACCCTGGAGGACCAGGTGCCAGCTTGGCCTGACCATAGACGTAGGCCTGCTGACCTCAGAGTGGGGCCCAAGAGGGACTGTAACCTGAGCCTTGCTAGAGTTGGAGGGTGGGTAAGGTGGAGAGAGAGGAGCATGAATCTTTGATGACAGAGGCTCAGGTGTCCCTGGCCTGGCCTCTAGATTATTGATGGTGCCTGGGGAGGTATTGGGGTAGAGTGGGAATGGATGTCACTTCCCCTACTGGCTAGTCAGTTTGCTCTGGTAACACTAGAAGGGGCTTGTCAGCCTCTCCCTCTGGGGAACTTGTTGGCCTCCTTCCCAAGGTCTGAGCAGGTAGGAGGAGCAGTGGAGCACAGTCATCCTTACTGTAAGAAAAATTATTTCTCACATGTACTCCTTACCACAGTCCTTGAGTTTGAGGTAGTATCTCTATTTTATAGATGAGCTTGAGGTTCAGAGAGGTGAGAGGTCACACAGCTAAAGGGGAGGTGGGGCCCTAGAGACCAGGCTTAAAGCTTCAGGGATCTGCTTGGATTCTGTTGATTATAAGCTCTGCATGCCTTGTGGGGCCATGTCTCCTTGTGTACAATACCAAGCCATATTGCCATATTTTTCTGTGCCCCAAGACCTGCTTGGCTTGGTTAGGCCCCTGGCCACCCGGTGATCTCAGGTGGTACATAGCCAGAGGCTTAGGCACAGGGTTACTCTGCTGGAAGGAGGGGCACCTGAGGACATAACTAGAGTCTGTTTACCTAAAGCCCCTCCACCCCGCCCTTGAACCACCCATCAGCTGCTCAGGCTAGGCCCTATAAATATTCTCTGATCTCAGTCCTCCAGCTGTGTCCCTGCTGGGATTCTATTGACTCCTGGGCAGTCCCAAGGTCACATTCACCCAGAGACCCAAGCAGGTCCCTTCCCCACTTAAACTGTTTTCCCTGTCTACCACCACTAGTGGATCTGAGATGACTCATGGTTCTCTAGCTCTGACTATGGTCCTTACCTTTGCATTTATGTCCTTAGTCATTGATCACTTTCCAACTCTGAACCCATGATCCAAAATGGAGTCTCCTTCCTAGACACTCCTCCTCTAAGAAGCCTTCCTTACTGCCTGGGGGCTCAGGGTTTGTTGTCCCTTGGCAAGGCTGTGTTGACCTGGGGCCTCCTCTGTGAGGCAGACTGGCTGGCTGGGACTGAGTATGTTCCTATGTCCTGCATAATTGTGTCTCTGTGTATTTTGACCATCTTCTTTCATGTACCCATGGTATAGCTACACTTTGCCTGTGTGCTTGTTAGCAAGCTGGGATTGTATCTGTGTGTCTGTGTGTGAATCTCTAAATGAATGTGCCCACTTATGTCAACCTGTTGAGTAGGTAGTCATGTACAAGTATGTTTGTGCCTATGTTCCTCTCTGCTTTACACACATTTGCACATGGATTCAGGGGGGTTGCCATGTACAGCATGTATGCTTCTGAGGATGGACATCATGGTGAGCACACATGGAGACATTAGTTTTTTTTAATATATATTTTATCTATTCTTTTTATTTTATGAGTGTATTGCCTGCATGTGTGTAAGTACACCTGTGTTGTGTAATGCCCATGGAGGTCAGAAGAAAGCATTGGATCTCTTGGAACTGGAGTTATGGATGGTTGTTAGCCACCATGTGGGTACTCTTAACCGCTGAGCCATCTCTCCAGCTCTAGTCTTTTTCTTTATATATATGACAGTGCTGGGAGTATCTCAGACCAGTCTACTGCTGGACCCTCATGGGGCCAGGGAACAAGTGGGTACCCTTTACTCTAGCCTTGTCTTGCAACCACTTCCATCTGTGAGTGGGCTGTCCCATTCCTGCCTGCCCCTCCTGTCACTAGCACTATCCCAGACAGCAGGCCACCTGCTTGTCACTCCTGCTGGCTAAATTTGGGAGCTTGTGTCCAGTGGCTATATCAGGTTCCCAGTCACATGGGAGGACCATATTTAACCCACTTCCCAACCTGGCCACCAGACCCACAGGACAGAGCAGACCCAGACTCATCCCTGTCCACTTTGCCTGCTCACCCCCACCCCCACCATGTTTCTTGTGCTTGTAGCCACAGAGGAACTGAAGGAATTCTTTGCCAAGGCTCGGGCTGGCTCCATCCGGCTCATCAAAGTCATCATTGAGGACGGTGAGTATATCCCCTACAGGCTGGGGCATGGGGTTGCGACTGGACATAGTTGTTTCTGGTGGTAGGGGAGTGGGTGTTGGCTTCTGGCCCCCTCAGTACCTTAGTTTCTCTGAAAGTGGGGATGAGATCACTCACAAAGCCTCATGGAAATACTGGAGGTAGAGGTAGTTAATACACTATTATGCAGAGCCCTGTCCTGGGGTCTTGCCTCAGTACCTCGAGACTATGTTGGTCTTGAGATGGGCCTTGTTAGGGTGCTGGGCTGAGGAAGCAGGAGGCCAGGGCCAAGTGAGTTCAGCTGTGTGTGTGTGTGTGTGTGTGTGTGTGTGTGCGCGTGTGTGTGTGTGTGATCAGGCTGGGCCTGACTTGGTTGTGGACTATGGAGAGACTAAGATTCAGAGTCTCTTCCTGTGGTAGATGCCCCTACAATGGGAAGAAGGAGCTTATGTCCAGCTCATTATGAATGTAGGATGGAGTGACCCCAGCCTTGAGATGACTTTAGGGATCTGGGGTCGTACAGGGCAGTGCCGGGGGTCTAGGGCTTGAGCTGAGACCTGAAGTGGGAGCATTTGAGGAGGCAGAGGATCTGACTGAGGCTAGACTGTGAGGTGGAGAGCAAAGGAGTCCTTCTCTCTTCTGTGCCAAGCAACGGCCCCAGTAAGTGAGGGGTATAGACTCTGGAAGTAGGGGTGGGCCAGGTCCTCCCAGGAGTCCTTCCAGCTTTTCAGTAGACTGCTGTCGTGGGTCCTTTGGCAGGGGGTCCCTGAATAAGCCTAGTGTCCCGTTCACTTTAGTAGGGGCTGCCAGACCCAGAGTTCACCCCAGGCTTTAGGGCCACAGCTACACTGGATCCAGATGGCCTCAGAGACTAGGTAGGGATCCTCGTGGTTAGCACTGAAGGCTTCCTTGGGCTTCCCACTCACTGGTTGGTTGTACTCATTGGCCCCCATCCTCAGCCCTGCCTGTTGCCTTCTCAGTAAGACATCCCTGAAACCTTATAGATGGTCCCTGTAAACAGAAGGACTCTCCCGGTGGGCTCTAATCTAAATTCTGCATTCCAAGTATCAGGGTACCTGGGAATGCCCCGAGGGGTGAGAGTGGGGTCCACGTTCTAGCTGAGTATGATTAGAGATCCTGATTTTTCTGCAGAAGCTATGCATTATACTTCTTGTGTAAAATTTCTGGTGTAGCCTGGCATGGTGGTATATGCTTGTAATCCTAGCACTTGCCTGTAATCCCAGCACTTAGGAAAGCTGAGGCAGGAGGAAGGAACTTGAGCTCGAAGCCAGCCTAGACTGTGTAGTAAGAACTTGTCTCCAAAGATAAAAATAAATACAAAAACGAAGCATGTAATCCCAGCACTTGGGAAGTGCAGGCAGGAGGATCAGGAGTTCAAGGTCATTTTTAGCATGGTGGTATATGCTTGTAATCCTAGCACTTGCCTGTAATCCCAGCACTTAGGAAAGCTGAGGCAGGAGGAAGGAACTTGAGCTCGAAGCCAGCCTAGACTATGTAGTAAGAACTTGTCTCCAAAGATAAAAATAAATACAAAAACGAAGCCTGTAATCCCAGCACTTGGGAAGTGCAGGCAGGAGGATCAAGAGTTCAAGGTCATTTTTAGCTACACAGTGAGTTGGAGGCTAGCCTGGGCTATAAGAGACTTGGTCTCAGTACAATTTTAAAAAACATCCTGGTAATCCTGGTAGCCAGGCATTGTGGTGCATGCCTTTACTCCAAAAAAAATAATAATAATAATAACAATTTTTTTTTGTCTTTTTGAAACAAGGTCTCCCTGTAGCTAGAACTGTCCTGGAACTCACTACGTAGACCAGGATAGCCTTGAACGCACAGAGATCCACCTGCCTCTGCCTCCCAAATGCTGGGACTAAAGGCATGAGCCACCACACACGGCCTGGCTTAATTTTTTTATCTTACATTTAACGCACATGCGTGCACACTTGTGCATGTGTGTGTGCGCGCGTGTGTGTGTGTGTCTACACTTGCGTGCCCAAAAGCATGTGTGCATGTGGAGAGTGAAGGATGACAACTTCTACCATATGGGTCCCTGGGATTGAATTTAGATTACTGGGTTTAGCAGCAAGTACTTTATGCTCTGAGCCATCTCACCAGCTCCCCAATCCTGGTTTAACAATAAATGTGAACAGTAGCCAGACATGGGAGCAAACACCTGTAATCCCAGCACTCAAGTGGTAAAGGCAGGAGAAGCCTGGGTTTCAGGCTATCCTGGGCTATATAGCCAATTCCAGGTCAGCCTTGGCTAGAACGAGGCACACACACACACACACACACACACACACACACACACACACAAAAGAAAGAAAGCAGCCAGGTGGTGGCATATACCTTTAATCCCAGTACTGGGGAGACAGAGATAGGCAGGTCCCTATGAGTTCAAGGCCAGCCTGGTCTACATAGAGAGTTCCCGGCCAGCCAGGGCTGTCTCAAAACAACAACAACAACAAAAACCCCAACAATATGAATAACAAAGTTTAGAATATTGACAGTGCCAGGTCCTCTCCCCAAACCTCTTCTGGCTGGACTGATGGCCTACTACGTTTGCCCCATTAAAAGGGCCTGGTGAGGTACTGGCACCCTGTGGCCGGCTAAGACTGCCATGTTACCCAGTTCTCTGGGTTAAACTGTGTGCATCAAGTACATATGTAGTGTCCAGCCAAGGTCTCAGCCCAAAGCTGTAGCTGGGTAACTCATTTGGCCACTGAGTACCTGTGAGACGTAGCAGATCTGTGAGGTCCAAGCAGCCCAGCAAGATGGCTCAGTGGGTGAAAGCACTTGCTATACAAGCCTGATAACCTGAGTTTAATCCCTAGACCCCAAAGTGAACCAACTCCTGAAGTTGTCCTCTTGACTTCCACACATACACTGTGGCACATGATCCCTTCTCTACACACACACACACACACACACACACACACACACCACTAATAAATAAGAAGTTAACTCTTAGCCAGGCCTTTTTGCACACCCCCTGCTTGGAAGGCTAAGGCAGGAAGATTGGGGTCCAAGGCCAGCCTGTGCCATATAGCAAGACCTTGTATCAAAAATAACCACAGGGTCTGGGGATGTAGCTCTTTTGGTAGAGTGCTTGCCTAGTATGCACAAAGCCCTGGGTTTGATCCCCAGCAACATGTAAACTGGAATTCATGGTTCATGTCTGTAATCCTAGCACCCGGGAGGTGGAGACAGGAAGCTCAGAAGTTCAAGATCATCCTTGGCCATGTAATAAGTTTAAAGCCTGCCTGGGCTACTTGAAACCCTATCTCAAAAAACAAGTAAGCAGACAAACAAACACAAGCTAGGCATGGTGGTACATGTCTATAATCCCAGCACTCAGGATGCTGATGCAGGAGGATCATGAGTTCAAGGCCAGCCTGGGCTATATAGTGAAATCCTGCCTCAAAAAACAAGTATTAGCGGCTATTGATTGGTTTGCAGCTGGGGGTAAAAGCATCTCCTCTAGCACACTGTCCCATGAGGGGCATGGTGGAGCCAGGGGCTGAGGGAGTTGGGGAGCAAGAACACAGCTGAGATTACAGTGAACCACACAGTGAGCACCCAGTGTGTGGGTGTTGCGAGGGGGCTGCGTTGTTGCTGGCAGTGGGTACCCAACTACATACCTTTGTGTAATTGTGTTGAGTGAACAGTGTGTGCACAGCACGTGAGCATTTGTCTGTGGGATGTGCTACTTCGGCTCACCCGGCCTCTGCCCCCAGAGCAGCTCGTGCTGGGTGCCTCACAGGAGCCAGTGGGTCGCTGGGACCAGGACTACGACAGGACTGTGCTGCAGCTGCTGGATGCCCAGCAACCCTGCTACCTCCTCTTCCGTCTTGACTCCCAGAATGCTCAGGGCTTTGAATGGCTCTTCCTTGCCTGGTCACCTGATAATTCCCCAGTGAGTCCTTGGGTCCCCGGCCAGCACCCTGCTCAGACCTAGTGGGAGAATGGGAGGGGCAGATACGAGAATCTAGCTCAAAGAAGCCAAGGGAGGGACTATCAGGCTCTGCCCCAAATCTTGCTTGGAGCCTGTGCTCCCTGTAGAACCTTTTTTCCGTATTAGTTTGGCTCCTGGAGGCTGTTTGAGCTGGGTGGGGGCTCCCCCTGCTGGTGGAATCTGCGTTATTCATCATCATCTTTTGGTTGCGCCCCCTGCTGGGTGTGTAGGTGCAAATAAATGGCCCGATTCGTTGTCTCCTCTCTGCTTCTGGAGAGGCAGCTGTGTCCAGGGAGGGTCTCACACATTGTCCCCTCCTCAGGTACGGCTGAAGATGCTGTACGCAGCCACACGAGCCACAGTGAAGAAGGAGTTTGGGGGTGGCCACATCAAGGACGAGCTCTTCGGGACAGTAAAGGTAGCTGTTAAGGCCAGGATGCACGGTAGGGCTAGGTACACTGACCCACAGAGGGTGAGCATTGTGTGGAGGTCACAGAGCAAGTCAGTGACAAGCTCAGGGTAAAACAGGAGGGCAGGAGATGTGCCTTAGTTGATAACAGTGCTTGCCTAACATGCACAAAGCCTTGAGTTCAGTTCCCAGAATCACATAAGCTGAATGTGGTGGTGCACACCTGTAACCCCAGCACTCATGAGGTGGAGGCAGGAGGATCAGAAATACAAGGTTGAGGCCCAGTGAGGTGGCGCATGCTTTTAATCCCAGCACTCAGGAGGCAGAGGAAGGCTGATATCTGAGATCAAGGCCAGCCTGGTCTACATAGTGAGTTCCAGGCCAGCTGGGGCTGCAAAGAGATCCTGTCTCAAAAACAAAAAAACAGAATTTCAAAGTCATCCTTGGTGATGTGTGAGTTTGAGGCCAGTTTTCTGTGCTGAGATCCTGTCTCAAAAAGAAATTGGGAAACTGGGAGTCCAAGAGGCACAAACTGATAATCACAGTGGGTTTTTCCCTGCCTGCCTGAGGTGCCCATCTACATCTCTAAGTCTTTCCCCCCAGGATGACCTCTCCTTGGCTGGGTACCAGAAGCACCTGTCGTCCTGTGCTGCACCTGCCCCGCTGACCTCAGCTGAGAGAGAGCTACAGGAGATCCGAATCAATGAGGTAGGTATCCAGGGCAGTATATGCCAGGAGCCCCTGCTAGTTGGCAAGCTGCAGCTTGGACTGGGTAAGGGATTCCCTCATCATTGCCCTCCCCTACACCCCCCCAGGTGAAGACAGAGATCAGCGTGGAGAGCAAGCACCAGACCCTGCAGGGCCTTGCCTTCCCCCTGCAGCCTGAGGCTCAGCGAGCTCTCCAGCAGCTCAAGCAGAAAATGATCAACTACATCCAGCTGGTGGGTACACACAACCAGCACATATAGGCCAGGCACCATTGGCTTCTCCTGTTCTTACTCATACATGTGTGCGAATGGGCACAGCACCCCTGTCCCGTGCTGTTCAGCTAATCCATGTGCCCATAAAACAGAATGTTCTCACACTATCGATGTGACTCAATTAGCAGAGCGTTTGCTTAACATGCATGAGGCTCTGGCTTCCATCCCCAGCACCACATAAAATTGGGTATGGCAGCCTGGGAGGCGGAGGCTGGAAGATCAGAAGCTCTAGGTCATCCTTGGCTACATAGCTCATGAGTTCAGGGCCAATCTAGGCTATGTAAAACCCCCCTGTCACAAAATTTTAAAAAGAACAACTTGCTGTTCTCCCCTCCTTTCCCTGCTCTCCAGTTCTACCCACAGCAAGTACCCCTGGGAGCACATAGCTCGGTCAGCCCTCACATATAGCCACCCATAGGTTCACACTGGCTCCTCATTCCTGACCCTTGTCCTGTCAGAGAGCTCTGTTGACACCCCTTTCCCAAGCACATTCTAGGGCTTTCCCTCAGGGTGGGTTGGTCCTATGGCAGTGCTTCACTGAGGTCAAGACCCTCCACACTACCCCCATATACTGGCCTTGGTGGGAGTGCCTTTTCTAACAGAATCTTCAAAGGGGCATAGTTGGGACCAGGCCTACTGGCTCTCTTTAGACTAAAGAGAGATGATCTTGGGAAAGACCCCAGGAGGGGGATCACAAAAACTTCTGCCTGCCCATCTGTCCTACTTTCTGTTGAGTACAACGGTACCCTCACATCTCCCCTGCCCCTCTCCAGAAACTGGATTTGGAACGGGAGACCATCGAGCTGGTACACACAGAGCCCACGGATGTGGCCCAGCTGCCCTCACGGGTACCTCGAGATGCTGCCCGCTATCACTTTTTCCTGTACAAGCACACCCACGAGGGTGACCCTCTTGAGTCTGTGGGTGAGTAGCTATGACAAGGACCCCAGTTCTGTGCTGGGCAGGTGCAGCAGTGACCCTTTGCAGGGTGGGCCCGCTATGGGGGTGGTGGTCTGCAGGTACCCCAACCCACGTGGACTTAACCCCACCCCCACCCCCACAGTGTTTATCTACTCCATGCCCGGGTACAAGTGTAGCATCAAAGAACGCATGCTCTACTCCAGCTGCAAGAGCCGCCTCCTCGACTCCGTAGAGCAGGACTTCCAGCTAGAGATTGCCAAGAAGGTACTAGTAGCCTGTCTCCAGGGCCCTATTACCCACCCTCCCATATGGGGCATTGGAGTCTTGTCATTGCAGGACTTGTTGCTGTCATATTGGACAGGAGGGAAACCTAAGGCCCAGGGCAATCCAAGATACACACAAGCCCTGGCTTCCATGTCACCTCCTTTCTCTGGGTGTGGGGGAGCTGGGAGGAGGAGATCCAGGCAAGCAGGGTAGCAGACCCTACATTGTAATGTCCTGTGGTGATCTGAAGGAAGACAAATTGCAGGGGTACTCCAGGAGTGGGGTTTACCAAGAGTAGTGTGTGTTGGACTCTCACCATGGTGTTGACCTCTGTTTTGCCCCATGCAGATTGAGATTGGTGATGGAGGAGAGTTGACAGCTGAGTTCCTCTATGACGAGGTGCACCCCAAGCAGCATGCCTTCAAGCAGGCCTTCGCCAAGCCCAAGGGCCCTGGGGGCAAGCGGGGCCACAAGCGCCTCATCCGGGGCCCTGGAGAGAATGGGGATGACAGCTAGGTATCTGGACTGGGACCAGAGCCAGGCGTGTGGACTGTGGGGTTGCTGCCCTACTGTTCCTGCACCTCCTTCCTTCCCAGCCTGGGCTCTAAGGAATTGATTCCTGAGGGACAGGAGGGCTGGTGGCTGAACACACCTGTTGCTTCCAAGGGCCACTGGACTGGTACTTTGTGACCCTTCCCTGTTGCTGTCCCTGCCTCTCATCTGTGTGCACAGGGTGGCTGGAGACCATTCCTGGCTGGCTCAAAGGGTCTGGGTAGGGGACCTGGCATGATCCTACCCTCCAGGGGATCTGAGGCTATGGTCTCAGCCCAGCCCAGAAGCCATAGAGGGTGGGAACAGTTGGAGCTAGGGCAGGACAGGATGGTTGAATGCTGTATTTTCTAAAGAATAAAATATTTTTAAATCAATTTTGAGCCTGGCCTTGGGAATTGGGCAGTCTTGTTTGCATAGTTGTCATCTATCTCCCAGCTCAGGTATAGTAATGCATGCTGGTAATGCCAGCACTCAGGAGGTCTGCTTAGGTGGATCCCTAGCACTCATGGCCCAAGGTATGTGGGAGATGCTGTGTGTGTGTGTGTGTGTGTGTGTGTGTGTGTGTGTGTGAGGGCACAGGTCCTGCCAAGATCCTGGGGTGGGCAGGAGCTGTACCCATGAGGCCAGCACACCTCCATTAGGTTATGGAGATTTAGGTGTTTCCCAGATCTCCCTTAGTGGCTTAAAAGAACTTTACTCTGAGGCCAGCCTGAGCAATATAGTGAAACCCTGTTTCAAAAACAAAACAAAGAGGAGAGGGGTGCTGTTGTGCTGGCTGCTCTTACAGAGGAACCTGGGGTTTGGTTCCCAGTGTTCACATGGTGTTCACATGGTGGGTTGCAACCATGGTGTAACTCCAGTTCCAGGGATCTCCTTCTTTTACCTCTGTACTGCATGCACATGACACATCTGCATGCAGGCAAAACACTCGTACACATAAAAATGAATAAATCTTAAAACACACAGACAAGCTGGAGGCCACACAGAGCTAACATCATGGTGCACTCAGAGCTGGTTCCTGGGCATGTTAGCCATGTTCTTGCCCCTTTGAACCTCAATCTGCAGTCAGATCTTCCCATCTTTTTCTTATTTTAGTGTTTTGTTTTGAGATAGGGTCTTACTATGTAACTGTGGCCAGACTTGAACTCAAGGCAATCCTGCCTCAGCCTCCTGAGTGTTGGCATTACCAGTGTGCATTACTATACCTGGCTTTGTCTCCATTTGGTTGGTTAGTTATTTGAGACAAAGTCTCATGTAGCCCTGGCTGGCCCCAGATTGGCTATGGAGCTGAGGATATCCTGAACCTCCTGCTTTCACTTCCCAAGTCTAGGATTATGGGCATGTATTACCATGCCTGTTTATCGAGTGTTAGGGATCAAAGTCAGGGCTTTGTACATGCTAGGCAAGCACTGTACTAAGTGAACTACGTCCCTATCCCCTGCCTCCACTTTATAGGGAATGCTTGTGTTTACCTTCACCCTCCCAGCTTCCTGTACCCCTTCCCCTGACAATAATCTAGGATTTAGGGAATTAGAATACAGATCTCTAGAAAGGCATTGTTGAGCCTACCATACCGGTAAGGACTCTTCTAGCTAGGTTTCTGTGGCACTGAGGCCATGGTGGATGTTCTGGGGACATGTGGCTTGGTATCGCCAGTCTTGTTTGTCCTTGACCATGTGCCTGTGTACCTGTGAGTGGGGACCACATCTGTACCTCTCTAGGCCTGCTTTCCTGACCCCAAGGGAAGCAGGGTGGTGACTGGAAGTAGACAGCTGACTCCTTGGTCCCAACCAGGGTTTCTGAGAAAGTGTCCAAGTTTGGTGTTCAGCATGAACCTGGAGTAGGAGTCAGGCTAGAAGCCAAGGGTCTAGTCTGTTCCTCTGCAAAGAAGCACCTCTTGTCCCAGGAGAGGAGGGTACAGACCTGTTGAGCTGCTGAATAGGCACTGTCCTTTCTTCTGGCTCAAGGTGTTAGGACCCTTGCAAGGACTCAAAAAGAAACTTGTTCCTCTTATCCCAAATACTGATTCTCAGGCAGGCAGAATAATACCAGTGCCCCCAAGCTGCTGAGCCAGCTGGATGACTGGCACCTTGGAACCTGCTTGCCATGACAGCCACCTGAAAGAGGGTATGGGAGGACTTAGGAGGCGAGTGGGTAACTCTGGTCCCCTCAGAAGAAATTTCATTCATTCATTCATTCAACCATCACCCAAAGATACCCTAAATACTCCCATCTGAATGCTGGGGTGTGGAGGTAGGGGGCTAGCTTCAGCAAATCTTGAGCAGTGCTGCAGATACAGATGAAGGTTCTTGTCCTCAAGAAGCCAACATTCCAAAAGGAGAATATTCTAGTTCGTTTCTTCATTGCTGTGACAAAATACTCTGACCAATAACAACTTGGGGAGGAAAGGGTTTATTTGTCTTGTATCTCCCAGGTCGCAGTTCATCTGGGAGCCCAAGGTAAGAACTCAGGGCAGGAACCTGGAAACAGGAGCTGGAGCACAGGCCATGGAGGAACCCTGCTTACTGGCTTGCTCCCCTGGCCCCTGCTCAGCCTGCTTTCTTATGCAACACAGGCCCACCTGCCCAGGGGTGGCACCACCCACAGTGGGCTGGGCCCTCCCACAGCACTCAACAATCAAGAAGATGCCCCACAGACATGGTTACAGGCCAGTCCAATGGAGGCAATTCCCCAGTTGAGGCTCCCCCAACCCAGGTGTGTCAAGTTGACACTAAAGCTATCCAGCACAGAGAATAAGACAATATACAATATAGGGGCTAGAGAGATGGCTCAGTGGTTAAGAGCACTGGCTGCTCTTACAGCGAACCCAAGTTCAGTTCCCAGCACCTACATGGTAGCTAACAACCATCTGTAACTCCAGTTCCAGGGGCTCCAACACCCTCTTCTGGCCTCTGTGGACATTGCATGCATGGGTGCACTTAACATGCATGTAGACAAATCATTCATACACATAAAATAAAAATAAATCTTTTTTTAAAAAAAAGACTATTCAAGCCGGGTGTGGTGGCACACGCCTTTAATCCCAGCACTCAGGAGGCAGAGGCAGGCGGATCTCTGTGAGTTCAAGGCCAGCCTGGTCTACATAGTGAGTTCCAGAACAGCTGGGGCTATAGGGAGACCCTGTCTCAAAAAGCCCGAAAAAAAAAAAAAAAAAAGACTATGAAATAAAACATAAGGAGTTGGTGCAACATTGTATTATCAGATAAAAAAAAACATTATGCAAAAAGAAAAACACCAAACAACAGGGCTCAAGAGAGCCAGACCTGAGCTAGCAGGCTTATTTATTTTAAGTTTTCATTTTTCTGAGACAGGATCTCACTATGTAACCAAGCCAGGTCTCAAACTCATGGTCCTACCTGGTTCTGGAAGGTTTGTTTGTTTATTTTTATGTTTTTTAAAATTTTATTTATTTTTATTTTATGTGTATGCATGTATGGCCTGCATGTAGGTAAGTGCACCCATGTGTGCAATGCCCACGGAGGACAGAAGAGGCTGTTGGATTCCCTAGGACTGGAGTTACAGACAGTTGTTAGCTGCCATGTGGGTGCTGGGATTCGAACACCAGTCTTCTGCAAGAACAACCAGTGTTCTTAACCACTGAGCCATCTCTCCAGCCCCATGTTTTTTTTTATTGGGGGTGTGTCTTGCTATGTTGCCTAGGCTGCTGGCCTTGAGCTTAAAATCCTCCTGCTTCATTCAGTCTCCCCAGTGCTGGGAATCCAGGTCGCTGGGCTGAGAGGTTTATAGGAAGGTCATAAAAGGCCCTGTGGAAAGAGAGGGTGATGTGTGTGCAGTGTGCAAAAACAGAAGGCAAACAGAACCATATGGGAATCTGGGAAAAGAATTTCTAGGCTGAGGGAATAGCAAGTTGAAAGGCCCTGGGGCAAGAGAGCGCACTGGTGTGTCCTAACAACAAGGAAGCCAGTGTGACTATAGACAGGGAAGAAGTGGAAGGACCTTGCATGGGACCTTGACCATGTTTGAACTGTGGCTAAGCCTCCAGACAGTTATAGAGGGATCTGGGTAGAAGAGGGGCCCAGAATGAAAGGTATGAACAGGTCCTTCCAGAAGCTCAATGTAAACAGGCTTCAGGGCACAAGAGCAGGACCAGAGTGGCCTGGTTAGAGATGATGGCAGCTCAGCCAGGCAGGTGGATGTGCAGGTGGTAGGTAGTGGGCAGCTTCTGAAGGGAGAGCTTAAGGGCTCTCTTCAGGGCTCCCAGAGGCTTTGGGCCTAGAGTCAGAGTTCCAACCACTTGGGTCAAAAGGAGAGTGAGAAGAGCCAAGTAGACAAGTGTTATCCACAATTGATAAAACCTTCGAAGTTGGAGGAAGCTCTTAAAGATTCAGGATGTTCCAAAGGGAAGTGGAACATTCTGTCCTTCAGGGAAGCTCCTTAAACTCAGGAAGTGAACAACTTAACAGCTTCAGGAAGTTCCTGAAACTGACCAGATGCACTGGGCCCTGCTCTCCCTTCTCAAGCTTATATGAACTGTAGGGACTGGGAGAGGCACTCTCAGACAAGCTGTGCTTCTTGGAAGAGGCTTAGCTCAGATCACCTGAGCTGCCTAGGACACACTTTCCAACCTGCTGAGCGACCTACAGGTCATGCAGTGAGCTCCAGGTTTCCAGCTTTTGTGAGCTGTCACCCATGCTGGGGTGGGCTTTTGGTGATATAACTGTTCCTGAAAGTAACCCCTCACCCATACTCCTGTAACTGACCTCAATAAAACCCATTGGATATGCCAGGTATGGTGGTGTACTCCTTTAATACCAGCACTCGGGGAGCAGAGGCAGGCAGGATATCTGTGAGTGCAAGGCCAGTCTTGTCTACATAGTGAGATCCCATCCCCAAAAATTAACTTATTGGTTCACTAAGCAGGACTTCGGTCTGTCACTGGTTCCCTATCTGGAGTATGTTTGTTCCCATCTCCCTAGGAATAGTGTAACAGAACAGTAAGATCGGCCAGGGCTCCTAGCTGGTCCAGCTGCAAGCTTGGCCTCAGGAGCCCTAGCAGCCTTCTGTGGTCTGGGGTCTGATGGGGCACTGGGGGAACAGGGAATGCAGAGTGGGGAAATACTATTCCCAGAAGGGATGGCAAGGCAGCTGTGGTAGTAAAGGCAGATGTTGGCCTCAGCCTCTGGTTCACACAGCCCACCCAGAGGCCCCAAGGAGCTCTGGGGATGGAGCAGGTACAAGAGCTACTGTCCTGAGAGTGCCCATGAGGGCAGGCATTGAGGCATGAGGGTGAGGTAACACCCTCTGCATGGACATCAGCGCCCTGCCCAGGTCTGGTGCCACATTAAATTCTGGTTTCTCACTGACTTTGGACTGGATTCTGGGCTCTGATTCCTCCCCACACCTCCCAGGGGACAGCTATGAAGCTGTTGTGGGACATGGGCTGTGGAGGGAAGGTGTGGAAAGAGGAAGGGGTGAAGGGGCTCTCTGCCATCTGACTATGCAAATGAGCTCTGACTCAATGCACCACCTGCTCCATGATCAGGGGAGAGGGAGCTTCTGGGCTGTAGTGAAAGTGTCACTTCCTCTCTTCTCTGAGGGACTCTGAGTGTAGAACACTGTTTTCTGTAGCTGCTGCCCAGCCTGCCGGACAGAGCATCTGGAGAAGCCCCCATTCCCCAACATGGTAGGACGGCAGCTCTTAGCCCCAGGGGAAGAGGCCTCATGGGAAGGGATAAAGGTGGAATGGGGCAACAGTAGAGGGATTGTCAGCTCCTGCCTGGGGACGCTCATGGAACCCTGTGGAAATCAGAGCAGAAGCCATCTTCTGGGCAGGGAGAGCTGAACTTGCTGGGTGGACAAGGAAGTTGAGGGTCTGTGTAGAGCTTGGCCTATACATTGTAGGCCTGCCACTCAGTGCTGGGCTCTGATGGACACTTTGCTGCCAAGTGCTCCCTTCAGACTCTGATCCCCAGCAGGTTGAAAGCTCTCAAGTCGGGTGAGGGAGGCAAGTGAGGGGTAAACGTGCTGGGTGGTGCCTGTAAGGCCAGTGGGAGTTAGCTTGCATCTCCGTGGGAGTGGAGTGGGGGAGGTCAGTCCTTTCTTCATCTTGACCAGGGAGAAGGAGAGCCTGGGAAGCTAGAAGATCAAGGAGAGGGATTTAGGGAGGCTGAAGAGACCAGCCTAGGCGGCTGCTCTGTTCAAAAGGAAAGAGCTGAGGCCACTAAGAAGAAGAAGGGAAAGTGGGAGAGGCCCAATGGACTTGCTGGACCTGTCCTGAGGGTTCAGTTCTGGGTGAAAGCTCCACGTAAGGGGTCTGGATTCTAGGCTCAGTCCTGGTTCTATGTCCTCATTCTAAGTAGTGGTTAGGCCTAAAACCAATTTGCAGTTCTGAGTGGGCTTTAAAAGGTAGGTTTAGGAACTGGAAGGAGGCTCTGTGGGAAAGGCTTGGAGACAGTTTGGAAGTCCTGCAGGAAGTTGAAGTAGAGTAAGTAGGAGTGGAGCTAAGGCTGGACACTCACCCAACCCTGGTCCCTACAGGTCCCCTGCCGCAGAGCCCTGCACCCCTTGTCTCTCTTGGTGCAGGCTGCGGCGCTGGCTGAGGCCCTGGCCCTGGGCACCCCACCTGCCTTCCTGCCCTGTGAGCTGATGCCTCATGGATTGGTGAACTGCAATTGGCTGTTTCTGAAGTCTGTGCCCCACTTCTCTGCAACAGCACCTCGTGCCAATGTTACCAGCCTTTCCTTGGTTTCCAATCGCATTCACCACTTCCACAACTCTGACTTTGTTCATCTGTCCAACCTGCGGAAGCTTAACCTCAAATGGAATTGCCCGCCCACTGGCCTCAGCCCAATGCACTTCCCCTGCCACATGACCATCGAGCCCGGGACCTTCCTGGCTGTGCCTACCCTGGAAGATCTAAACCTAGGCTACAATGGCATCACCACTGTGCCTCCATTGCCCAGCTCCCTGAGGAACCTGACCCTGAGCCACACCAACATCCTAGTGCTAGATTCTACCAGCCTTGCTGGTCTGTACGCCCTGCGCTTCCTCTTCATGGACGGCAACTGCTACTACAAGAACCCCTGTAGCGGGGTGGTGGAGGTGGCCCCAGGTGCCCTCCTGGGCCTGGGCAATCTCACCCATCTGTCACTCAAGTATAACAATCTCATGGTGGTGCCCCGCCAACTGCCCCCCAGCCTGGAGAACCTATTTTTGTCCTATAACCAGATTGTCAAGCTGACACCAGAGGACCTGGCCAATCTGACCTCCCTGCGAGTGCTTGATGTGGGTGGGAATTGCCGCCGCTGTGACCACGCCCCCAACCCCTGTGTGGAGTGCTCACTACCCTCCCTCCAGCTGCACTCTGAGACCTTCCACCACCTGAAGCATCTTGATGGCCTAGTGTTGAAAGACAATTCTCTTCACACACTGAACTCCACCTGGTTCCAAGGTCTGGCCAGTCTCTCAGTGCTGGACCTGAGTGAGAACTTCCTCTATGAAAGCATCACCAAAACCAATGCCTTTCAGAACCTGACACGCCTGCGCAAGCTCAACCTGTCATTCAATTACTGCAAGAGGGTATCCTTTGCCCACCTGCATCTGGCAAGGTCCTTCAAGAACCTGGTGTCACTGCAGGAGCTGAACATGAATGGCATCTTCTTCCGCTTGCTCAATGAGAATACACTCAAGCCCCTGACCCATCTGCCCCAGCTCCAGACTCTGCATCTTCAAATGAACTTCATCAACCAGGCCCAGCTCAGCATCTTTGGGGCCTTCCCAGCCCTGAACTTTGTGGACCTATCAGACAACCGCATCAGCGGAACTTTAATGCTGCCAGCAGCCACCAATGAAGAGGCGGATGATGGTGAGCAGGAGTATCTGTGGTCTGGGGCCCCCCTCCCTCCACTGGACACCCCTGGTTCTAAGAACATCATGCGCAGGTGCAGGGACCTTGACTTCACCTTGGATCTATCCCGGAACAACCTGGTGGCAGTTCAGCCAGAGATGTTTGCCAACCTCTCACACCTCCAATGCCTGAGCCTGAGCCACAACTGCATTGCACAGGCCGTCAATGGCTCCCAGTTCCTGCCGCTGACCAATCTGCAGGTGCTGGACCTGTCCTATAACAAGCTGGACCTGTACCATTGGCGCTCATTCACGGAGCTACCACAACTGCAGTACCTGGACCTGAGCTACAACAGCCAAGCCTTCAGCATGCAGGGTGTAGGCCACAACCTGAGCTTTGTGGCCCAGCTGCCCAAGCTGCGTTACCTTAGCCTGGCACACAATGACATCCACAGCCGGGTGTCCTCGAAGCTCCACAGCACCTCACTGAAGTACCTGGATTTCAGTGGCAATGCTGTGGGCCGTATGTGGGGTGAGGGAGATCTCTATCTCCACTTCTTCCAAAGCCTGAGAGGCCTCCTCCACCTGGACCTGTCCCAGAATCACCTGCATATCCTCCTGCCCAGAAACCTGGACAACCTCCCCAAGAGCCTGAAGCTGTTGCAAATCCGCAACAATTACCTGTCCTTTTTCAACTGGAGCAGTCTGTCCTTCCTGCCCAATCTGGAAGTGTTAGACCTGGCAGGAAACCAGCTGAAGGCCCTGACCAATGGCACTCTGCCTAACGGCACCCTGCTCCGGAAGCTGGATGTGAGTAGCAACAGCATCAACTCAGTGGTCCCAGCTTTCTTTGCCCTGGCGGTGGAACTGAGAGAGGTCAACCTCAGTAACAATGCCCTCAAGACGGTGGACCATGCCTGGTTTGGGCCTGTGGTGGGGACCCTGGCAATGCTAGATGTGAGAAGCAACCCTCTGCACTGTGCCTGTGGGGCGGCCTTCGTGGACTTCTTGTTGGAGGTGCAGGCTGCTGTGCCAGGTCTGCCCAACCATGTCAAGTGTGGCAGCCCCGGCCAACTGCAGGGTCACAGCATCTTCACGCAGGACCTGCGACTGTGCCTGGATGAAACTCTCTCTTTGGAATGCTTCGGCCTCTCGCTGTTGACGGTGGCCCTCGGCCTGGTGGTCCCTGTGTTGCAGCACCTCTGCGGCTGGGACGTTTGGTACTGCTTCCACCTGTGCCTAGCCTGGCTTCCCTTGCTGGGCCGGAGCCGGCGCCGTGCCCACGCCCTGCCCTACGACGCCTTCGTGGTGTTCGACAAGGCGCAGAGCGCGGTGGCCGACTGGGTGTACAACGAGCTGCGTGTGCGGCTGGAGGAGCGGCGTGGGCGGCGAGCGCTGCGCCTGTGCCTGGAGGACCGGGATTGGCTGCCTGGCCAGACGCTCTTCGAGAACCTCTGGGCCTCCATCTACAGCAGCCGCAAGACGCTCTTCGTGCTGGCCCACACTGACCGGGTCAGTGGCCTCCTGCGCACCAGCTTCTTACTGGCTCAGCAGCGCCTGCTGGAGGACCGCAAAGATGTAGTGGTGCTGGTGATCCTGCGCCCCGATGCCCACCGCTCCCGCTACGTGCGGCTCCGCCAGCGTCTCTGCCGCCAGAGCGTCCTCTTCTGGCCCCACCAGCCCAGCGGTCAGGGCAGCTTCTGGGCCCAGCTGGGCACGGCCCTGACCAGGGACAACCGCCACTTCTATAACCGGAACTTCTGCCGGGGGCCCACTGCAGAATAACGCAGAGCAAGCGCTGGATGTAGATGCAGCTTCATGCCTGGCTTCCTGGGATGCTCTGCCTGCCTCGTTCCGCCCCACTCCTGCTTTGCTCCCCATAGGCATTCAGCAGGTGCTCAATAAAGTCTACCAAACTACCCAGCCCTGCGCTCCTTGGAGGTGTGTGTGGAAGAAGAGACGGGAGAATTCTCTAGGCTTCCACTAGTGAAGGATAGGAGGTGGTTTACGGCATCACCCACGGGGCAAAAGGTCGTCTGTGAAGGGCAGTTTTCTTCCCAGGCATCTTTCAGGAGAGTCACTAAATACGAACTTGGTCCTTACCAGAGAACAAGGACAGAGCTGCCTGTTTTAGCTCCCTGAATACCCTTGCGCTGTGTGTCCTTGCAGGCCTGGGTCAGTACCTCTCTGTCTTGTGTCTCTAGGGTGTTTGCCTCCCTTACCTACTGGGCTGAATGTTTGTAGGGCAGAGAATCTGCAGGCCTAGTCTACTTCTGACCTCCAACAAGGTCCTGAGAGAGCATCAACGGAGGCTAGTGTTCACTGCAGAATGTATAGAAGAGGGGATTTTAGGGCACAGTCAGAGGAATGAGAGCGCCCCCTGGTGGCCATGCCTATGCTGGGTCAAGGAGACCGGCCTAGATTAGGGGAAGGCCTGTGGCTGCCGCAGGGAGCTGGGAGTATACGAGTGTTCCCACAGAAGACTTGTAGGTGCGTGTGTGATTTGTGTGTATGTGCATGTTTGAAGGTGTACATACACGTATGTGTAGAGGCCAGAGGTCAACTTCAGGTGTTATTATGTACACCTTATTTTTTGAGACAGAGTCTCTCATTGACCTGGAGCTCACTAATTAGTCTAGGCTGGCTGGCCAAACAGTCCCAGGCATCTGCCATCTTGGCCTCTCTAGCCCTGGGATTATGTGTGTGCCACCATACCCATCTTTTTTATATGGGTTTCAGGTTCTCATGCTTGCATGGCAAGCACTTACTGACCAAACTGTCTTCCCAGCCCCTTGTCCAACATTTGACATTGTGACAGACTGCATCACCTATATATAGTTCACATTTGAGAACTGCGCAATGAGTTTCGAACAAAACGAAACAAAAAGCCCCCAAACAAGCAAACAAAATCCTCAGAGGACAATTTTGTGTGAGATGCATTCATAACTTTCCTGGGGCACAGGCACCTGGAGCCGTAGTGAACTCACCTATGAGCATGAGCTCATAATCTAGCTTTTTCTGATTCTAGAGATTCATGCTGGCTCTCAACGTTCTGATATCAAAAGACACCTAGGTAAGCTGCTGCCTGGTGAAAAAGTAGGGCAGTGAGATCTTCTGTGCTCTTACCCCCAGGCCTGCTTACACACCGGTTGGGGCACAGCCACATCTAATCAAGATGAAGTATATGATACGTGTTGCCTTCTTATTATTCTTTTTCCCTTTTTTGAGGCATAATCTCATTATGTAGTCCCGGCTGGCTTGGAACTCACTATGTAGACCAGGCTGGCCCAGTTTTTGTTTATGGATTTTTAAAATTAAAAACATTTGCTGGGCGTGGTGGCACATGCCTTTAATCCCAGCACTTAGGAGGCAGAGGCAGGAGGATCTCTGTGAGTTCAAGGCCAGCCTGATCTACATAATGACTTCCAGGACAACTGGGGCTACTGGGAGACCCTGTCTCAAAAAGACCAAAAAATAAATAAATGAATAAATAAATAAATTTAATTAAATTAAAAACATTTATAATTGGGACTGGAGAGATGGCTCAGTGGTTATGAACACTGGTTGTTCTTGCAGAAGACCTGGGTTCAAATCCCAGCACCCACATGGCAGCTAACAACTGTCTATAACTCCAGTCCCAGTGGATCCAACAGCCTCTTCTGACCTCCTCAGGCACTGTACAACATGGGTGTACTTACCTGCCAGGGCTGAACTTGAGAGTGATGGACTCAGGATTTGTTTTCAGGCATTTTGATAGCTGTTGGAGTGGCTAGAATCAGTGTCAGTTACCTCTCAAAGGCTTCTAGATAGGGAGAGAAAACAAATTTAGCCATCATTGTATTTTGCCTCAGATACCCCTGCCCCTGCGTCCCTTCATGGACAGGATACCCCTCCCATCTCTCCCACTCCAACAGTTATAAAGCCTAAACAGGGTTCAAACAATTACCATCTTCATGACTTCAGCTGTGTCCACTAACAAAAATCATCACAATTAAACTTGTTGACTTGACTATCATATTCTTTAATTGAAGGAGGAGGGGTAAACAGGGTCACTGGACCCTCACCTGAGTATCCAGCTGCAGTATTCCCAGCCAACTGTATGTAATTTGACCCTAATCACATGGTCTCCTGGACTTGGGGAAGACTAAAGTATATTATCTAAAAAGGCTAGGAAGAGAAGGCTTGATCCATGCTGGGTTAAGGCTTCCCAATGTAAATACTCTCAGGTCACGCATATACCTCAGCAACCCCTCAGTCATCTCTGTGAGTAAGCTCAGTAAATTCACTGGTTCCCTATGGGGCACACGGAGATCTCCCCTGTGTGCACCCTGGAAGCGGCGGCGGGTCCCGCGGGCGTCTGCTTCTCTGGTCGCGTCCCGCATCGCTGTCCGCCCCT